AATATTACAGTTATTTCTTTTTTCTTGTTTCGTCTTTAAAATTTTTCATTTTTATCGTATTTTATTAAATTTCCAATTTTTTTTTTTATATAATGCAGCTTAAAAGTATTTCATAATAATTAATAGATATTATTTTTTGTAGTAACTTAATATTTGTACTTTTCCTATTTCTTTATTTTTATATATTTTATGTAAATGTAAAATCACGCGTTTAAATCTAATTTCATTACAACGGTAAATAGAAATTTAATAAAAATAAAAAAAAAATTAAGTTGAAAAGTGCATCTCTGCAAACTGGACAATTTGTATGTTAGGCTATTGTATCGCTTGATTGTATGATTAATATAGTTTTTTTTTTGTTACAGGTCATCATCGGTGGATTTATTATCTACTCATTTTGATTTTCTTCTACTTTTTAGAATATATATTTAAATGCATTTCTGAAGGCACATACATGTTTATATACTAAAAATTAAATATAAATATTTCAAATTCTATAATATATATTCGTCCAATTTTTGACTCCGGATTTTCGTCAGAATATTTTACAGATCGTGGTATTGTAGTATTATTATTAATACATATCAGATTTGTATAGTGAATATTAGATAAATTAAAATATAATCATCAATCTTTTGCGTATCTATGAATATGTACAATATTTTTTCTATTCTATCTTTATGCTCTAACTACCTTTCATTGCACGTAGTATTTTACTATAAACTAATTTCGGGGCTTCTATAGCCCACAAAAAGTCCACATGATTAAATTGTGTATATGGTATCTTGTATAGATCGATGACATTATTTAATTCACTTGATAACCGCTGAACATCCTAAGGATAAAAAGAAAATAGACATAAGTGTGTATGTATAGGTATTTATTGTGTTATTAGGTATTACATACCTTAACACTTGCACACCAATCGTTGTTGGCATAATATAATATTATTGGTACTGAAATTTTAGATGTATCATAATTGGGTGGCTCCACGCTATTATAAATTTTTAAATTTTGCTCCAGCCCGTAATCAAATTGCTGAAACTTTCCAGATTGTATTTCTTGTGCGTAATGTACTACTGTTTTAACCGAAGCACCAGCTGGTACATGTCCAAAAATTACTGGTATTAATGACTAAAATGCAATACAAAAATACATAAATGTGTTTTAATTAAAGTACATAAAGTTCAATGTACATAATTCATCATTCAACATACATAGTTAAATTGAGATTTATCAAATCCAGAAAAGGCAAATAATATATTGCTGCATATTTCATGTTCCAAATTGTCAATATCACAACCATATTTGGCAAAATACTCTATTAACTTATTGTGGGGGAGAAATTCATCTTTGCCTAAAATATGTATAATCGACTACAATTGAAAACAAAAAATATTTCTGTTCATAAAATATACAAAAATTTTAATTAAATTTCTAGTATTAAAAAGATAGAGCAAGTTACTTTTAAATCATGTGCGAAAGGAGCTAACAAACGTAGAGGACTTTTTATATGTTCCATGTAAGCAACTGGAGCAAGACTAAACATCATTTGAACCCTGCTAGCAATATCAGATCTCAAGGTGGACATTACATAAAATGCTGTTGTTCCCATAGAATGACCAATATAAGTCAAATTGCTTTTTTTTAGATTTGTAATATATGATATCATCGCTGGTAAATCGTATATACCCATTTCGTGCCAACTAATATGAAATATATTATTAAAAAAAAAACTATAACTGAAAAATATTGTTTTTATAAAAATACCTGAAATCCCAAAACTTTGCATCATTCGTTGACAAATTTTTATGAGCTCTTGAATAAGTGTTACCACGAAAATTACCAAGCCACACATCATATCCATAATCGGCTAATATAAAAGCTAAAAAATAAAGTAAAAAGATATGAGATGTAAATAAAAAGAACTCGGTGAAAAATGTTAACTTTATTGAGTACAAATAGAAAATAATTTTTAAATAAAAATTGTTAACGTACCAAGACTTTTTCTTGGACCAGTGAGTACCCAATCAGTGGAACTTGCTAACAAACCATGTTGCAATAATATAGGATGTGATTTAAATTTTCCTGATATTCGATGAAGTGTCAAAAGATATCCATCTTCAGTAGATATTGTATGTGCTTCAGAAGGATATCCTTCTTTTTGTATAATTTCTGGCTGAAAAAATCAATAATAAATGATTTTATTACAAAATATAATACATAGGCATGGTAACAATTAATTAATAAAACAATGTAAAATTTTGCAATGTTAAACTATACAATTTTATATTATACAGTACAATTAAATAAATGTAAAATTTATATACAAAAGTACAAATTCAATTTAGATAACAAGATTTAAATTTGAAAAGCGACATCTATATACTTATTACAAAATTTCTTTTTTAAAGAATAAATGTAAAAATAAAAAAATGTTGAAATATGATTCAAATTATATTTTTATCCTAATGATAAAATGTTACCTTTGTTATCTACTGATAAATTATTTATATGTTATACATTCATTTTCTAGAAATATAAATTATATGTATTAAAAATATATATACAAGGAAAGACAAAAAATAATACATTTAAATATTAACCAGATAAATTGCTCCAATCACGAATAGGAAAATTTATATTTTGTTGTTCATTAATCAAATTTATATTAAAGAAAAATAAAAAGATATTTCTACTTACTGTATTAAGATCGACGTATGGATTATATGATTCATTATTTAAAACACGATGAGTCAATGTCCTAAACTTTTCAATCATTTGAATTTTTGGAATAAACACCAAAGTTTTAACCTCAAAGATAAGAGTGCAAATAATGAAAAGATATATCGTCTTCATCTTAAATCCCAGTAACTTATTAAATGTCACACTTGTTTCAATCCAAACTGATTATGAATCTAACATAATAAATTGTTTAAAGATATAAATAATATACATTTATTGTATAGTTTTTAACAATCATTAAAAAGTAATACATAAAATTATACCGGCATAAATGTAAACAAGTATTTACAGATTTAGCTTCTATTATAATACATTTATGTCACCAAATAGACGTTCTCTTTCTGTATAATATATACGTATATCTAATAGCATAATTTATATATTATCATCAACCAAGCTCTCATGCGCAGTATCGAAAAATTAACTTTACTTTAATTATTAATTGGATCTAATAAGAGAAACTTATTTGATAACTTCGATAAAAATTTATATTTTATTTTTATAGTCATATTTAAATTTATTAAAAATAAATTGTGTTTAAATAATATATTATACAACAATAATAATATACAATATATACAATTTCTTTGTGTTTCAATATGAACAATGAAATAATAAAAAAAAGTCTAATGGCGCGAAAATCGTATTTTTTATCTCTCTCTGTTTATTCGTTTCAAATATTAAATATGATCTCATTGATATTCTTTAACAATTAACAAGTATATTATAAAATTGTATTGATTAAACTTGGTTTTATATAAAAAGAAAAGATACTACAGATATATAAAGAATAATATAAAGTACAATATATACATATATAAATTAAAATCAATTTTTTATACTTCTATGTTTATTCTACGTTTGACATTTTTATAATCTTAGTTAATATAACAGTCGATTATTTTTTATACTTTTATTTTCAAATAAATTTCTTCTAATAATCAAAACATTATTATACAATTTCATCTTCTTTTTTTCATCATTTAAATGTTAAATGTGTTAAGATTTGAATATTTACGCAGTCGTTAGGGAACTACCTTATACGAATGATCTAAGCACATCATCCAGTACATAAATAACACAAAAGATATTAAAATACTTAATTCTACTTGATTTGTTTATTATAGCAGGTATGTATTTAAAAAATTATTAATAATTTTTATCATTTAATAACGGCATAAATGGTAATTAAATAGTAACAGTTTATATTATAGAGGAAAAGCCGACTAACCTCAAAATTTCGTTAATTTAAAATACTAGTTTTTTTTTCACAAGAATATATGAAAAAAAAATTTAAGAAACAAAGAAAAAAATTTTAATTATAATTCTTTTTACTATGAATAATCATAATTTGATATTTAAATAATTCATTACATAATACATTTAAAATATAAAGTATAATATATAATATTTATAAAGTAACAATGTGTGTGTGTAAGTAGATTATGAAATATTAAGTTAAATAATTGATGACATTTTAATCCAATTTCAGATTATAAAGATAAAATAAAATGAATGACTTAACTTTACCACCTTCTCCAAATTGGTACTTAAATAATATTTGTGCATGTTCCAAAAATGGTACTATTGCATGGGGAGCTAGCAATTTTATTGTAATTACAAGGCGTCAACAAGATAGCAAGATATTAAATTATTCTATTATTAAAGATGCTCATAAAGAAAGAATCAATGCATTAGCTTTTTCACCTGATTATGGAAAGAATAACAAAAATCTATTAGTATCTGGTGGTGATGAACATACAGTGAAGATATGGAATTTAGATAATAACTCGGCAATAATGACATACTCATATCCAAATGTATATATCTTACTGTTTGTATTTAAAACTTTAATTATTAATCAACTTATACACCTTTTTAATTTTTTAGAAAAAACAAACTGTTATAGGAGTTGATTGGTGCATCAAAGATCCTAATATAATATATTGCATTAGTAATGATGGTTTACTAATATCTTGGAATATACCTTGCAATGCTTGTAGTCCAATCCCACTAGGAAAAATGACAGCAACTTGCCTATCTGCATGTCCACATAATTGTAATCTTGTAGCCGTAGGTTCTAAAGCTGGATTAGTTTATATAGTCGATACACGAGGAATAGGCTCTATACGATATAAACTAAGAGGTCATGATACAGAAATATGTAGTTTATCTTGGTGTCCTGTAGAATATAATATTCTAACCAATGAAAAGAATAAAGATTGTCTCTTGGCTTCTGGTGGAAAAGATAAATCTATATTTTTATGGAGAGCTGGTGGAGATGGTAGATATGAATTGGAGATTACTCTACCAAATTCATCACTTGAGGCTCGTCACAGTCGAAATAAGTTGAATAAATACTCTGTTAATAATTGGACTAGTGTTTGTTGGGCAGTATCGACACTTTTACTTACTAGTTCATTTTGGGGAGAACTTCTTGCTTGGGATTTAAAATCATTACTTAAAAATAAACCTAAATTGGTTCATTCTCGTCACAATAGATCAGTATTTTTTATTTGTAAAGAACCAAATGTTAATAAAACTATTAATGATAGTTCGGAAATAAATAATAAGTAAGTTAAATGAATAATTTTTAAATATGATTATAAATTGATCTGATAGTAAAAATAAATTTGTATGTATAATTATTTAGAATTACAGTATGGACATCATCCCAAGATCGCAAAATTGTTTGTTGTAATATAAAAGAAGACTGTAATGAAATAGAGTATGATATTATTAGTCAAGGTGGATATGTCTATTGTTTAACTTCTTGTCCTTTAGAAACTTCACTAATTGCATTTGGTGTAGGCGATGCAATGTTACGCATTTGGAATTTATCCGAACAACATAAAACTTCTCTTGATATTACTACATTATGGCAGAAAATAAAAGGCAGTATAAGATCTGTAAGTTTTTTTTCATACATCCTATTATATGATCATATTTAATTCTTCTAAAAATATTATATAATAATATAGTAAACACATACTACTTAGATTGCATGGCATCCAACAAAAGAAAACCTTATAGCTTTTGGAACTTCGGAAGGTCGTATTGGTGTATTTGATACAAATGGTAATAAACCCCCAATTCTATACAGGCAATATTACAAAACAATTGTATATACATTACAATGGGGACCATATCTTGGAAGAGAAAATAATTATACTTTATATTCTTGTGGAGAAAGCGACCTTATATATTATACACCAGACAATCCAAGCCAAGGTAAAAAAATAATTGTGATATATTTTATTTTTTTGCAGTAATATTGATCTTTATTATTGTTTATAGTACCAACAGTCTTAATTAAGAAAAAATGCACCGAATTTTCATGGAATCCAGATTTTTCGTGTTTAGCTGTAGGATTTCAAAATGGGTAAATGTTTCAAAAACTAAAAGTAAAAAGATTTATGCACTTCTAATATTTATTAATATTACTTTCTTTATTTTGTTTTAGGACAATTCAATTTTATAATCGCAATTTTGAAGAATGTGGTCATTCAATTAGTACTGTGAATGCATTAGTATTTGGTTTGAAATGGCATCCTGATAGTACTACAACAGATTTAACATTCTCTCCTTTTAGAAATTATATGGCTGTAACTCATGATGATTCTATCATAACTATACTTGATCTATCAGATCTTTTTGAGAAAATAGATGGGATAAATCTATTGACAGAATCAATTAATAAAGTAAATGATAATAAAATATCTTCAAGAATTATTGGCAAAGTATATACTACATTAAATGGTCATAACAAGAAAATTACTAGTTGTGCATGGAATCCACATTTAAGTGGATATTTAGTTTCATGTAGTTTTGATTGCAGAGCACAGGTAATTTTATACATTACCTTTATTTCTTAGGTTTGCTTACAAATAATAATTATATATAAAGAGCTTTGTATTTTATATTATATTTTATATTATTATATCAGGTATGGAATGTTGAAAAACAAGAAGTGATAGCAACATTTGTAGACCATCAAGGATTTATTTATTCTTGTATGTGGAGTCCCATAGATCCAGATGTAATATTAACAGGATCAGCAGATTTAACATTACGTTTATGGAGAATATCATCTCAGTCAGTCATAATGCCTGAACGAAAGTCTATTTTAAAAAAGAACACATCAGTAAAGAATAAACAAAAATTAAACGAAGATAGTAACAAAGGATCAAATAATTGTAATGTTGAAAATATAAATACTTCGGAAATAACTACAGAAAAGAAACCTTTAGAATTAGTAAAAATTAAAACAGGTATTGAATGAAGCTTATAGTAATATAAAATTATAAAATAATTATAACATATTTCATATATTGTAGAGATATCAACGGCTATTACAAAAGAGGTACAAAAGAAAATTGAAGAAAAAAAATCTTATTTTCCAATTCACTCAAAAATAATGAACAATAAATTAGCTATCCTTAAATCCATTAAATCTCTTATTAAAGATGAAGACAATTTTTTTAGTTCAGAATATCAACTAAAAGAAGAAACTACACTACCTTCTTTATTTAGTGAAGACGCAAATCTTTCTGAGATCTTTAATATTGAAAGTGAGTATATATAATAAATAAACTATTAAAATATATAGTAATATTTTTTATCATTCTTTTCAGAATCTAAACTTACTACTCAAGGTAATCACATTGAGGTTACAGAGATGAATATGTGGTGTAGTAATCTTAAAGAAAATTTGGAAATTGCTGTTAAAGAGAAACGTCTTAATGATACTTTAGTTTCACTTTCGCCAAGTCTTTCAATGATGTTAGTTGTTTTTATTTATTCGATTAAAAACAAATATCGACTTTTAATTAAAGATTTATTAAATCTAGTTTTTATATTAAAATGATTTATTCTTATATATTTTAGGACATGGCGTGAAATGTGTGAAGCATATGCAAATCAATTAATACTTGAATCAAATCCAACTAAAGCAGTATCATTTCTACTTTGTATTCATAAGATTTACGAAGCTATAGATGTTTTCCAAAATGCACAAATGTACAAAGAAGCTTATTGTCTTGCTAGATCTCAGTTGGATCCTAATGACGAAATAATAAAAAAAATATTAGAAAATTGGGCAAAATTTGAATGTGGAAAAGGCAATTTTGAAGGTGCAGCACATTGGTAAGTTAAACGAATTTGTTACTTTATTGTACACAATAATTATATACTATTATTAATTTCAGTTATGTAAAACTTGGAGCTTACTCGGAAGCAGCTTCTTTATTAGCACGTAGAAAAGATGTTGACAGTTTAATATTAGCTTCTAAATTAGCATTGTTATCTGATGAATATGTTTTAAGCAAATCATTAGTAGAACAAGCCTTAATGGAAGCTTTAAAAAAGTCAGATATATGTATTGCAGAAAATATAATCCAGAGGTTTCCACAAATTAAGGTAGAAGAATGCATTTTATTGATGTTTAATAATTGTAATATATAACACGCATTATAATTTTACAGTATTTAGAGGTGCTAGTCAAAGTGTTTGTAGTATTGCAAAAGATAATTAACAAAGATATAAAAGAAAATACAATTTATGCTTGGATAAAGGGTGAACTTGAAGATGGTATATTACAAATTTGCAAAGATTATTACGAAGAGTATAAAGATTATTATAATGACCTTTATCAATACAACTTTAATCAAGTAATAGATAATCAAGCAACAGTAAGTATAGTAATGGAATAATTTTGATTTTTATAGTCAAATAAATATGAATTTATTCTCTATTTCAGTTGTGGATAAATGCTAGTAGCCAGTTAGCAATGGCAATAATTTGTGATTCAATGGAAAAACGATTAACTCATTTGATTAATGTATACAGTATTATTTCTAAATTTGAGATACTGCATCGTAATCATGGAAGTCCTTTTATTAAAGTACTTGTATATTTAGATAATACAAGTCCTATAGAAGATAATAGCATTTATGAACGAAAATGTTCCCTATCCAAAAGCTTACGTGCTTATTTGTGCGTTGGACTTCTGAATTGGATTGTTGACGAAGATAGTAACGTATCTATAAATGATCAAAGTATTAAAATAATACAATTAATAGAAAATGTACTTGAAGATATTATTGAAAAACAAACAGTGAGATTTTGGTCTGTTACTAATGAAATCTCAAAATTAGAGACTCAAATACTTAACACTTTAGGTATAATTGATATGATAAAGTATTTTTGACATTACTTAATGTATATTTTACAATTTAATTTATTTTGTATTATTATTGTAGGTAAAACGCAGAAATTTGATGAAAGTTCAGTTATTGAAGATGGAACGGTTTTAGTGAAAAAGCTTGATAGCATTAAAAACGAAAAGAGACAATTTATTAGCGAACGTATAAATTCCCCAAGTCCTATTTTAGCATTTAGTAAAGCTAATGATTTAATAGATAAATTTTTCACTGAAACTTTTATATCTACGTTTTCAATGAAACTTGATAAGATATGGACAAATGCTATTTCATAATAAGTATTAATAATATTAAAAAAAAAAAAAAAATATAAAAAGAAGAGAAAGAAAGAGACAAAAAGGAAAATAGATTTTAAACCATGTATATAGAAAATATAACAGGAAAAGTTTTTTTTAAATAAATTTTATGCATTTATTTATTTCTATATTTCTTATCTAAAAAAATACATAATAATATGACTTCATATAAATATAAAAATAACACTTCAACACATTCAACTTAGTGAATTTTTATTTTCCAAAAATGAAGTTCTCTATCACTGCCTGCACAAACGTATGGATATTTATAATGCCAAGATAAACCTCCTACAATTTTAACTTTTCCATGTAATATAACTTGCTTTATCTTAAAGTTACTAACTTTTAACTGATTATCAGGTCTTCCAATACTTGCTACAATGTGTTCGTAAGCAGGAAAAAATTTGATTAAAAGACCACCTTCGATATAAAGTGTTCCAGATTCCAATGGTCGACTAAAATAAATATGTTTATAATATTATTTATAATAATATAATCAAGAGATGATCGATTACATAAATAAAATCTTCTTTACCTGGGTCTAGATACATCCCATAAAAGTAATTCTCCAGCTGCTAAAGATACAACTTTCAGTGGATTAGAACCCCAATCTGCAGAGGATAAAGGAAGTACCCCTGCATCAAGTGAAATAATTGCTTGCTGATTTCTAACATTGTACATATGAATTAATCCATTTTTTTCTGCAACTAACAACTTTCCAGATTCTTCGCTATGCCAGCATACACTCATCCCAGGTGATGTTAAATGAAATGTTGAAACACATTTTTGATCTTCTTTAATAGCCCAAAGTTTACAAGTATGATCATCAGATGTTGATGCTAATAATTCACCCTCAGGTTCATAAGAAATTGAATTTATATAATCTATGTGCCCTTCTAAAATCTTAAATGAATATAATTTATTTTATATAATTTAATTATATATATATATTATTATTATTAAGTTTTTTAGGAAAATGTACCTCATATGTATTAATATCATTTAAATTACTATTGTACAGTCGTATTCTAAAATCTGTACCAGCGACACAAAAAGTAAGAATTTTAGGAACGACACTTAAAGTTGTTTCTGGACTCCATGCAATAGCATTTGGTCTAGTGTCATGATGAAATGTTCTTATTAAGTTATAAACTATGTCTTCCACAGTATCATCTTCCTCCTATAAAATTTAATAATTTGTTTATACATATAATAAAATCTAGAATATATTTAGAATTATTAATTTTAAAAAGTTAGAAAATAATTCCAAGAAATTGTAATACAACGTTTAATACATAAAAATAATTTATTTGATATTAAGATACCTGAAATTTGATTGTACCAACTATGATTTCTTCTTTTAAACCAATACAAATTAATTGCTGGGACCATTCATAAGGAGAAAATTCTACACAATAGATTTGACCAGATAAATTTAATTTAACTGATGGCGGTGTATTAAATGTTTCATCCATTTTTTTTCATTAACTACAAACGACATAAATACACGCGTTAAAATTAAGCGGCATAACCTTAAAACTACACTGATACTTTTCTCAAACAAAATATAATCATAGAAAAAGCACAATATAGATTGGTATAAGATCAATAAAAAAGTCATGTTTTTGTCCAAAATTTTTGCGTGCATAATATTATAAATACTTTGTCATATGTTTAACAAGTAATTTTTTCAAATTAAAATATTTCTATTTATATATATATATATATATGAATATTTAAATTAATGAAGTATAATAAATAATTGTTATATAATATTCCCTATACGTTAGTGATCGAGTGTGGTAATAGTCAATTGAAGTTGATCGTAATGATTCTTAAATTGACATAATATGTGTATCTAACAAAAGATTTAATTAAATGCACGAATATAATAATGTATATTACGATATACTATATCAGTTTACTGCATTATTTGTTTTTAATCTAATGATAAATTTATTTGAATGTAATTATTTTCTACAAATTTAGTAACAGAGGAGAAATTAAAACAAAATTTTTAATTAAATTAATACATTTATATCATAATATTTAGCATTTTTAAATACAAAATAGACTTGCATAGTTGCATAAATATTATAAAAATATAAAAAATAACATTTCTGTGCATTTGTTGACAAATTTTGCAAATGTTCAAAGTTTATATCTGTTAATATGTTTTGGATTGAAATTATCATCCTAAGAATTTTTCTTCACCACCACGCACAGATAAACTTTCTCTAATAATATCAGTTTTTCTTTCATCCATCATTGCAGCTTGTAACCAATTTGAACCATTACATTTAGTACAACTAAACAGAGGTAATTTTTCAAGACTAACAGTTCTGTTACCACAATCTGAACATTTAAAGAATCGCTTAATAGCATCTATTACACGAAGTGGATGTTTTTGTTTTTTACATAATTCTGAACCTGAAAATGCAGTATATTTACATATTAAACATCTCACAGCTTTACACTCTACTTTAAAGGTTGATAACATCTTTTCTTCCATTTTTTCTGTCATTTCTAATTTATTAAAATATTTTTCTTTTTCTTTTTCGTATGATTTTTCTATGAGATCTATATGGTTAGATTTAGCTTCCATTAATTCTTTAAAATTATTTGGTAAGGATTTAGACTTTTTTGATTCTTGTTTTTCTTCTATTTGTTCATCAATTTCTCTTGCACGTTTGACACCCTTTTTTTCTTCCTTCGTCAAATTTATTTTATTTGGATCTTTGGGTTTAATTTTTCCATTTTGTTGAACCCATTTAATAGCATTTTTTTTCGCATTATCAATATGTCTTTTTGTTATTGGTTGAGAAAAATCTATCGTACCGTTATAGCAACCTGTGCCTAAACGTGGAGTTGATAATGAAGAAATTCCTATATTTGTTTTCTTTTCTTTACTTTCTGTAGTAATTAAACTTTTATTTGTGGTGCTTGTAGATTGCGAAGATGGAGATATTGATTCCATCTTTAATTGTTTATTACTATTCCAAACTTTCAATTTATTTATTCGATTATGGTCTTTTATCGTTTGATTACATTGCAATTCTACAGAAATGCTTCCCTTTTTAATTTCTTTGCTTTTTCCAATAAATTTTGATTTATCACATTGCTTTTCAGATAATAGAGCTAAACGTTTTTGATCATGCATTCGCAATTTGTCACTTTCTTTTGCAAGTATCGGAACAAATGGTTGCATACCATTATTATTAAAAATCTGTGAAGTATTATTTTGGGATTTATTTTTTAAAAAATCAGATGAAAATCCACGAACATTATTGTTAGATCCTAAATCTGCTCTGTTAGAACATTTTTTATATTCTTGTTTGACATGATAAACACAGTATTCACATCGGTTAGTATTTACAATAGCTGTACACGGTTCTCCATTTTTCTTATTTGCCTTGCATTTACCCAAATCTTTAGATTTCCCAATAATCATAATCTTTTGTGGAGTATCGATACTCAACGTTGCCTGATCAAAGTTATCCTTAGATTCAAGTATATTTGGATTTAAAATTCCAATGACAGTACCAAGAGTAGTTTTCCAAAATGTTTTATAAGCAGAACTAAATAGAAAAAGAGCAACTGTAGTCATGTTTTCAGATAAATCACTAATTTTCCATATACAATATGATGAGCCTTTTTGTGAAGTTTTAGTAGGTGATTTGCTAATTAATACACCAGCTATCACCCAATCATTAGTCAGCATACCTGATGATATAGATGTTTTTATTTTAGAGATAGTTATAGCTAATTTACCATTCATTTGTTCCTTCATTTGTTTAGAAGAAATAAGTGGACTAATAACTCTTATTCCAAAAAAAGGATCGCTATAAACATTATTTTGAATGGATGATGATTTAGTAATACCATTATTTAACGTAATATTTTTAACAGAAAGTGATCTACTATCTTTTTCATACGTAGTAAAATTTTCTTTCTTCTTTATTTCATTATTTTTTAATAAATGTTTTATATCACGTCCATACTCGGAATACTTTTGTTTTTCAAAATAACGTTTATCTTCGTCGTCCGAAGAATCAATATTATCACCAATAATTTCGTTAATATTTCCAATATTATTTACCTTCTGGTTATTAATATCACACTTATTATTTATTTTGTCAATGGATGTATCGTTAGATACAGAATCCAAAAAATTATATTCTAACTCTGTAATAGTTTTGGTTTTCGTAGATTCATTTTCTTCTTTATCGTTTTCCGATAAAAGATCATTTAAAATATTAATTCCATCAGAATCATTGTCACTATCCATATTTGCACTTGATAAATTTCTAATAAATTGTAAACATCAAATTCAATGTATTTATTGTTTATAAGAAATGTTAGTATTTATAATATATAAATATAACTTTGTTTTTTATATCGCGATCATATGCTAAATAATAATCGATTTGTCTATTTTAATTAATATTAATAAGTATATATTATTATATGTCAAGATACGTAATTCGTTTATAAATATGAATGCATTTAACATAATGTGATGCACCGGACAACTTTCTTTATTACGTTTATTATGATTCACCCGCCAATTTACAAACATGGTTCATATCTTATATAGTTGGGAATCTTATATAGTTCTCACATATTCATTTTTATGTAAGAAAGAATATATACTATTTAATTTTATAGCAAGTACCTATTGAAAGATTGTAAAAAGTAACAAAATATATATATATATATATAGATGTTTAAAAATATTCTAAATAATTATAAAGAACAATTTTAAGTCATGTGATCATTGTGAATAAGTAAGCAACCAATCACAAATTGTCATGGCGCGCTTTCAATTAGACAGTAAAATATATTATATTAGTATCATTCATTTGTTAATATCTCACAAATTTTTTTACTCACTTATAATTAAAACAAAATTTGAAATTCGAATTTTTTTTTTTATTCAATTACTTCAATTACTAGTTAGGATAATAACGTTTTTAATTTATTATAAGAAGGATATATTTGTGGATTTATTCACGCGCGCGTAAAAATTCTTTAAGATGATAAATAATTTAATTTCTAATTCTTATAAATATTTATTCATTAATAGATTATAATGCGCTATATAATCAATTATAGTTTTGTATAACCATTAATGCAAAAAAATAATAAAGGGTTGTTGTGTCAAATATCATTTTCTTTATTTATAACTTTTGAACAAAAAAACTTATTTAAACATAGTTAACAATTTTTGACATTCTATAATATAACATATAAATAATATTAAATAATATTATTAGAAATAGTCGAAGCTATATTAATAACATAGTAAATAATAATAAATGCAAGATTTACAAAACTCGATTAAAAATATAAATAAAATTATATACATTTTTCTGCAGTAAAACTAATGTCTTATAGAAGACTTAACAGAAGGCTTCATTAGTTTCAGATACACTGTGAGGTTTATATAATATAGTAATCTATTCTAATCTATAGTATAAAGCAATTTGTTTGCCTTCAAATATATTAGGTCTACCGGAAAAAAAATTTGCAACGGGAAAAACAAGTGATAATCGAAGGGTGCAAGGTCTGGGGAGCATGGTGGATATGACAGAATTTCCCAGCCTAGGTCTGCGATTTTCTGACGAGTCGCCAAAAAAACATGTCGTCTGGCATTATCAAAATACGGTATGATGTGCTTTCTATTGAACATTGCTGGCCTCTTTTCTCTTATTTCTTTACTTAAATCATCCATTTGCTTACAGTATTTCTCCAAATTTAGCTTTTCATTAGGTTTCAGAAGCTTATAATGTATTGGTCCTTGAATGTCCAACCATATACACAACATTCTCTTCTTCAGATTCAAGCTCGGATTAAAAGGGGAAAGGGTAGTCTTTCCGGGCTCGCAATATGCTCCTATACTCACGATGTTGTCGTATGTAATCCATTTTTCATCAGCAGTTATCATCCGGTCAAAGAAAGATTCGTTTTTGTACCGAGCAAGCAGAGATGTGCATATGACAACTCGGTCATTCAAATTTTTTTCACTTAACTAGTGAGGCACCCATTTGCAATATTTATAGACCAATCCTAGCTTCCGAATATGGTCGGAAATGGTTTGTTGAGTTGAACTTAGCTTCTCTGCAATATCTGACGTTGTCAAAAATGGATTTTGCTCTATCATAGCCTTGATAATGTCGTCATCGATCAATGACAGCCGTCCTGAACGTGGCTTATCATTAAGGTCAAAATCACCTGCTTCGAATTTTTTAAATCAATTTTTGCACGTTCTATCTGAAACTGCATATAAACCAAAAATTTATATTAAATTTCGTCGCGCTTCTGTAGCATTTCTTCCTTGCTGGAGCTCGTACAAAGTACAGTGGCGTAAATGAACTTTTTCGTCGTCATGTTTTAACGATCGCCTCTCACTGCCCAATGACATGAGAAGGTTTTTTTTTCAGTTTACTTAGGAGAGTACATGTGTATAAATGCAATGATAACGAAAAATAGTCATATATGACTCAAATAAACATGTTTATATCGATTGAAACTTGAGGAGCAAAAATCGGACAAAACTTTCCGGTAGACCTAATAATATATTTGTTTTTGCTTAAAGCATGTGTGTTGTATGTAGGATATATATATATATCTCATGTATTAACATAAATTCGTATTACTTCTGTTTAAATCTTTCTGCAGAAATAACATGCACACGCACATACACACATACGCACACATATATATATGTATATGATAAATATTTATACTGCTGTTCCATCTTCTACATGGCCTGCAGAGTATATCTTAATTTTCAATGCATTTAAGAATTGTACTCTTATATTACAAGCGTCGTCTTGCATATATTCGATTCATCTTTAACATTATATATTATTTAAATGGAATAATGTACGAAATTATAGTTGAAATTAGGTTCTATGTGTATGGAGAATCTTAAATAAGATTTTAGTATTTTATAAAGAAGGCAATCAACACAATCCACCTTCATATTCATCCGCATCTTCATTTGTTTCCAAATTTTGCGAAGTTACATTAGATTTTTCATCTTCTACTTTATCTGGTATTTGTTCCATTGTATCGTTAGATATAGCGGCGGCAGCAACAGTAACTGCAGCACCAGCAGCAGCGCCATCATCTTTCTATTAATTGAAAATAATATTGAAATATATTATGTAAGAATATATGTTTAAAAGAAAATTATAAATGCAAATATATTTATCGTATACTTACAGAATTGACTTCGGCTTCAACTGTAGCTTGTCCAATTAATTTGTTAGCATTAGGTGAAACATATGACTCTGCTGCATTTGCCCTTATACCTACAGGTGGTATAGCATATATTTGCTGCGGTAGAGGCAAACCTCTAGCAAGTTTAGCATATTCGACATCCATGTGTTTAATAAAAGGACTGTTTAGAGCAGATCTAGCTGCATCTGCGTCTTCATTATCATAGGCTTGTAAGAGCATTTCCAAAGTTTGAACCTATATAATAAATTGATGATGTTAGTTGCTAAAGAGAATTAGTAGAAAATATTTTATATAAAAGATAACATTTATTTATAAAAATACCTCAGGTGCATCGCAATAATTGCCCCATTCTTTAAATGCCTTTTCTGCAGCAACTTGATCACCACGTGCTAATTGAACTAATACTAAGGCTACTGCCAAACGACCCACTGATTGTATATGATCTATTTGTTGATGCATTCCTATTTCTCTGCGAATGGCATCTGCAGCTTGATCGTACATTTGAAGTTTCACCAGGAGTCTTGCTACCTTGCTCATATATTCCGCTGCTTGTCTTGGACTATCTTCACCCTTTAATCGAAAAAAATATTTTTATAAACTCAATATTAATTTTATACAATAAGTAATTTATACCATCACAATATCTGCTGCACGCTTAAATAATTCTAAAGCTTGTTCTGGTTGTGTTGACTCTATCATTTTTCCTGCTTTATCAAGTACTAAAGCACCTGATTCAGGTGAACCATGTTGTTGATATAAAGAACAAGAACTGTGTGCAAGGTTTGGTATATCCGAAAGATTGCCCATTTCTTTGCAAATTGGTAAAGTTTGTTCTATACTCCTGTAAAACGAATCTTGATGATTTCAAGCGTGACATAATATTAATGCTTTTCTGTAGATAAATTAGATAAATATAACAATGAATACTTACTTTGCCGCATGATACCATCTATTATATAATTTAGGATAATAAATTCAATCAAATAAATATTATTAATACTAATGAATCACATTATAACATATGCAATAGAACAATATTGATTTATCAAAGGATACGATTTATTTTGTTTATAACAAGAAGAAGCTTTCATTAAGCAATCTCTACATTGTTGAAATGATTTGGCAATTTGAAAACAAGTAGCTAAAATAAATATCAAATAAATGTATTAATAAATTCGATCATTTGCGAAACTTGATTAAATATTTTACCTGCTTGTGCATACTGATCAGCAGCGTACTGGAAATCAGGCTTCCATTTCAATAAAGAAGTTTTTAAGCTATAACAATTATGTTAAAACAAACATTTTTTCTTTCATGTTGGAAATTAATTCTTAACATTATTTCTTTCATTATTCAATAATAGTACCTTTTCTCAGCTTGCCGTATGTGAGCGTTGCCTTTTTCAATCTTTGACATTTTTCTCCAAATGATGTCAGTTGATAATCACCCTTTTTCTCTTCGATAAATCCTTTCCTTAAGGAATTGAGTGATGTTCGATTCTAATATTACTTGTGACAGCTATTTTTTGACAAGCTATTGTACAGACGAAAGAATTTTTTCATTCCATAAAATTGATATTCATTAGTTAGAACACAAGTGCAAGTATAAAATCGTTTTTTTCCTCCATTCAATATAACTATCATTACAAGATGGCGTTGTTCGCATGCAGATATTTTTTTATTGGTCTTCTTTGGAAACATATTAAATGAAAATATGATACATGATCAACACAAATTTTACACGATAATTTGATTTCATTAGTATTGTTATGTAATCATCAGTGAGACAAAAAGTGTCTTTTATTTTTTTATAATTAATCAAAATAAATGTTATAAACGACATCTAGCGGCAAATTATGGAGTCTCTACAGTATATTCATTACCCGTTCTATTGAATTCTCTTTAGTTTCGATTTTATGATCGAATTTTTGTGATTGTTTACTATAATGGCTTTTAGAGAAAAACAGCGGGAAAAAAGTAAAGCAGTGCTTTATGAAATCTTATTTTTTGTTAAAAGTATACAAATTTCAGAAGAAGTGCATATGTGCAGAAACACACATCGTAACATTAAATATTGAAGGTAAATGAAACATACAGACATTACTTTAAATTTGTACTTCTTTATGTATAATGATATATAACCTATACAAAAAGTGTTAACTTAGATGATATGTATGCATATGTATATAAATATTAATAAGATGTTAAATAAATATCTCTATGCCATTAAAAATATATATACTAATGATAATTTTATCAAATTATTTTCTTTTAAAAGTAATGATTTTAGAAGTAAACTCAGGCTATTTAACATTTTATTCTTTCTTTTCTTTACTCAGGCTTTAATACAAAATAATCAAATGGCTGAACGATTAGAAGATTTAAATCTTCCAAATGCAGTTGTTACTAGGATTATAAAGGAAGCTTTGCCCGATGGAGTTACTATAGGAAAAGATGCGAGAACTGCTATTGCTAAAGCTTCATCAATTTTTATTTTATATTTAACGTCATCAGCTAACATAATAGCTAAAAAAGCAAATCATAAAACTATTAGCGGGGCAGATGTTTTACAGGCAATGGCAGATATAGATTTTGATCAGTTTGTAGATCCTTTACAAGAATCATTAGAAAATTTTAAAAGAACACAGAAAGAAAAGAAAGATGCTACTAAAAAAAAACAGTCCAAGAAAGAGGAAGATGAAGTAGTTGAAGACGAAGATACTGGAAAAGATAATTTATAACATTGTTGAGAAATAACGTTTTTGTATAAATATTTCTTGATAATATAAAGTCGACCGACAGAAGTGCAGTTTTTTTACATTGTTTTATATTTATTATAACCACTATATAATAATTATCAAATATAACTGTATAATGTTCGCTTTTTCATAAATGTATTTATTCTTTTATCTTGCGAAGATGGATAAAAGTATCACTTACATTTTATAATAACAATGATTTTTGTATATATTTTCTTTACTATATTTTTATCATGATAAATATCATTTTCTTTTTCGCATACAGTTTAATAGATCAATTTTGTACATGACCATTATATACAAGCAAATCATATTCAAATGTCATAAGAAATGTTTATAATTACTGTGATGGTTGTTAATTTTTTTTTTTGTTATAAAAATGTCATAAATGTTTGTTTAAAAATATTTTACTCTACATTTCTCTTGACGTTACTATTAGATTAAATAATATTTCGAAATTAATTTAGGTTGTTCTAGATTTAAATATCTAATATCATTATTGGAATATGTAGAAGTAAAGTTATATTACTTTAAAATTATATTTAATATAACATTTACAATTTTTGTAGTAGACTGAGATGATTAATAAAAATCTTAATTTATTTTATTTTCATTGTACTTGGATTAAATGTAAAATTATATGCGAATTTTATTGCTTATTCTACAACCTTTATAGAAATTACTTAGAAAATTTAACTTGCATATTTATTTTGGTTATAGATATGGGATGTGGTGACTGATATGTTTTAGTAATATTTTACATACAAAATCTAGTCTTCATTTTAGCATAATTTAAAAGAAAATTAGTTATTGTATTACTTGATTATGTATGAACTTTTACTTTATAAGTTGATTATTTGTAAACTTTTTTAAATGAAGCATAAAATATAATTATATTTTATTTATCTTATAACAAATTGCTTTATGCAATTTATGTCAAGAAATTTTTTAATCAAATAACGTAGATAAACTGTTATGTTGCATATATATACTAAGATCATTCTTTAGAGAACATAATTAGAAAATTGATCATTTCATTTAGTAATATTTAATAATATTTCAATAAAAGAAAAATGATAATTCTTTATGTAACTTTCGTTTGAATAATATTTCTGTTATTTGGCAAATTTCACCTATCTTAATTATTTATACCTTAAGTCATTAAAAAGACATACGTATACGAATATGAAGCATTCTTATTTTTTTTTTATTATGATTATGACTATAGATGCATTTATAAAAGGAACATTTTTATAAAGTTTATGCTAGATTGTAAACGTGGTCTAATTTATTAATTAAATTAATGAAGTATGTTATAGAGAAATATGAAATGCATAATAAATAAATGGTCACATCTAAATACAATGATAAACATTAGTTATTATTAAAAATGTATATATTGTAATATATTTTTTTTGTATTATGTGTATATTACGCACTGTATCTTAAAAATAACCAGTAACTGGTATTCTAATCTTTTAAAAAAGGCATCTCATGGCTTATGGGTTTAAAAATTTTCATTTTGCGTTCTATAGTACTTCGGCACATGGGACATTCCGATGAAACCATATTTGCACAATTAGAGCAACAACACAAATGTCCACATGGTAAAAAAATTACTTCACACTATAAAAATTAAAAACAAAAAATAATAAGAGTAATTTGTATATCTATATATAATCTAATTAAAAAAATATCCATTGAACTCACCTGTAAATCAAGACAAACCACACATTCAGCAGTATTAATACTTTTTGCAATATCAATTTCAGGTTGGTTATAACTAGTAGAAGCTTCTTCAGGTGGTGCAGAAGGCAATGTTGGTGAATTATCTTCATTTATTTTCATTTCAGCCAAATAATTTTCAACAGCCATCTTTATAGCAGCACAATCTCGCTCGTTTGTTATACCAATCTGAAAAGTTTTGGATTTTTAGCAAAAATGTATTTAAATTGTTAAATTATTTAATTATCAAAAAAAATTATACTAGTTATTTTTACGCACAGCTTTTAATTGTTCATCATTAATATTTGGTAATAACGATGGTAATGTAGCTAAAAAAGGTAGGCAGTGTAGTGCTCCTGCAATTGCAACATGCCGCACTAATGTAGGTTCTAGCATCTCTAATAAACCCTGAGGACGAGTTTCCATTAACGAATGGTACTGCATTAACCAAAATTGACTGCTTCTTCTTAAATCCTTTAAGATGAATACAAAATCGAAGAAGAATAAAATAAGTCAAATTAATATTTAAGTAAAATAAAAATGAAATAGATAATTACACTACTAGATCGTTTCTGTTCAATATGATTAATGGTTTCCAGAAGTTGATCTCTTCTATTTTTTTGTTGTTCTAATAAGTCGATAAGTATAGCACTTAATGCTACTCTTCGCTCAGAAATCTCATTCTACAAATACATAATGGTTTATGAATACACAACAGTAAAGTCTATTATAAAATATAATTTACTTAATCGACTTACAAGTTGTTGGTTTATTTCAAATTTTCTTCTTTCTAGTTCTATATTAGTTAACGCAGCTAATTGTGATTGGACCAAATTCACTTGTTGCATAATACTCCAAGACCGTGCATCACTGCGTTCTAATAAAGCTGCTACTGCGACTTTTTGTAATACTTCATCTTGACGTATCTTGTCAATAAGATCTTGTCTACTCTTTTCTTGATTTTGTACAATTTGTGCAAGATGATCATTCTGCCTTACTTCCCTGTAATTTCAAAATTGTAATAATAGAAAAAAAATATTTATTGGAACTATTTCGTGAAATACTAACAAAGATAATAGTGATTGTGCAGTATAATTTTTGTAATTAGTATGTTCTTCCAATTTTCTTGTCCTATATAATTCTTCCTCTAATAACTCTTCCATTGCCACTAAAAGAAATATAATAAATATAAATACAATGTCCATAATATATATTACTTTTATTAAATTATTAAATACACAAATCTCTTACAGAGAGTATCCTTTGTACGAAACATGAACTGTTCTGAATGACAAGACGATAATAATTGCATTTCTTCTTGTGCTTCTCGTTCTAATAGTTCAGCTTGAGTTTGTCTTTCTTCTTCGCTATTTCTTAAAAATTCCTTTATTACATTATCAGCTTCTTTTTCAGCTAAAAATAAGTTTATGATATTGTTGAATCGTGAATAAATATCAAATAATATAAATTATATTTGGATTATAGAATAATTGTTATAAATTTTTTATTGTTTTTATTATTAAATTTAAAAATAACAATGAAATTGATATACCATTAGAAATGTAGGAAAGCAAACGTGCTCTATTAGTGTCCCTTTCTTTTTGTACTTTTTCTAATTTATGTTCGAACTGAGTTTGTTGTAGGGCTAAGTCTTTTAACAGCTAAAATTAAGAAAACAGAGCATATCTAGTTATAAAATTCTATCTCCTATCCGAAATAATAAATTCAATTTTCATTGTTATAAATATATAAATCTGAAATACCTTTTGCTTATGAGCCTTTAACATAGATTGAACCTCAATTTCATATTCTTTCTGTTGTTTAATATTTCTTTCTACTTCTAATAATGCAAATTGACGTTGCTCCTGTAAATTAAATAATCTTATAGTATACAAATTTAAGTACAGGCAATTATTACTATACACGTGTATTACTTTAATAAAATTAAAATAATCAATGGTATAAAATAGAAGAAACATAATCTTACTAATGAAATAAAAATAGTTATGTTAAATAATAAAACAATAAAAAGCAATGATACTGATACAAAATAGTTTGAAACATAAAAATAGCTATGCATGCCTTTGTTTTTTCTAACTGCTGCAATTTTTCCTAAAAACAAAAATAATAACATTAAAACATGCATTACAACATCAAATGGCAAGCAGTCAACATGCAATACCTGTACATCACTATTCTTATCATAGTATATTGCTTGTACATTTTCCGAGCTTATGTCTCTGGACAAGTCATTGTCTGAAACCGAATCTTCAGGGGAATATTCAATTCCAGATTCATTTGCTAAAAATGCAATGATTACAATTGTACCCCCGCTCAAAATATCTTCTGACGGATAAGATAATTTTAATCCATCGATATTCAAAGTTGTTATTAATTGTAGATAGCCCAGAGACTTAGGGAGTTTTTGAAGAGGTTTATTGTAACTAATATCCAAATTAATAAGGTGTTGAAGTTTACCAATAACTTCTGGTAATTGTTTCAAATTATTTCTTGATACATTTAAGATAGTTAATTTAGTTAAATGTGCTATTTCATTGGGTAGTTTGCTTATATTATTTTCCTGTAGATATAATTCCTGAAGTATAAATAGAAAAAGAATTTTTTTGTTATGTACGTATATGTGTATATATATATCAAATTAATGATGCTATGTATAATTACATTTCAAAATGAAATGTAATATAATATAATTTATTATAATGTAATGCTTTTATACCTTGAGTGAAACAAGACACATAATGTCAGGAGGTAAAGTGCTAAATTGATTTCCATGAAGATCTAAGATAGTAAGCAAAGATAGATCATTTAAGGTACCTCCACCCGAAAGAGAAGACAACTTATTATGGTACATCCATAGGATTTTCTTCCTAAAGACTTTGCATAACGAATAAATCCCAGGTGGCACAGTTTTTAGGGCACATTCAGAGATATCAAAAACAGGTTCTGGATTTTCCCTTGCCTATCGTATGTTAATAAATATTATAATTATCATAATATATATATATACATATATATAATATTGTTACACATAATTAGAATTTAAATATTTTATAGAAAAGCTACAAAGAAACAACAATAAAATTAAATATCATAATAAAACTATCTTTCTATATAACATAATAATTGACATTACACTGACAGATCAATACCATAGTAACAACATTATGATTATTTTCAGTTAAATATAACAAAGTCATGCGTTAAATCAGTGTTATTGACATCATATTTTGTATCGAATGCATGGACAATTTTTCAACAGTTATTTCTCATTTTTTGTTCGAATACGTTTACTATATTAACTCTACGTAATTTGAAAAAAATAAAAATAAAAAAAAAATAAAAAACAATAGACCAAAAAAGAGGGTAGTGGGGGGAGGATCAAATCGATCGTAACAATTGACGTTGTTGTGTAGTACAATGAGGAATAGATATATGTTTAAATTAACCTCAAAATCATATTGATGACACATACCAGATATAATTTATACTCGAGACGAGCTTTGTAATCCATATTAACTTTGCTCCCATGTTTATTTATCAGAGACATCATTAATCGAATGTGTCATGACAGTGATATGTGGTATATAAAATTTACATTGTCATCGGTTTGATTTCGTTCGTCGCGACGTGATTTTGTTTCCTTTAGCGAACCATAAACGAATAAGACACGTATCATCTGTCAAAGCATTCTTACTGTTCACTGTATAACTTCGTATATTGCGTCTATCGCGAACAAGTACGTTAATTGGCAATGTAGTCATTTGCTGTTAGAGTTGAGGGAACACGCACGGTACACCTCCCTGTCAGACATCGAACTAACACTTACTATACATACTTATTACATCTAACCCGGACCAATCGTATACATACTCATCACAATGTACAGTACTTGCAGAAATTGCAATGACTTTTAACTATTATCTGTCAATATTATCTGTCAACGTTTAATTTAATTTAATTTAATTTAGATGTGCAATTTTTTTCAATGCATTTTCAATTTAATGCAGAAAATGCAACGACTTTTAATTATTATCTGTCAATAATATTGTACATTATTATTATATTATATTTTTTTTAACGTTTAATTTAATTTAATTTAGTTATATTTCTTATTGTTCTTCTTATCGGTTGCAAGTAAAAAGTTTCGAGGCTTGAAATTAAAAAGAAAAAAATATGATAAGACATATTTGTTTTTCCCTATCATCATTTATTTACTAAATTTTATAATTTTCCTTGCTCTAGCAGCTTTAGCAAACAGATGTTTTTGTTTCTTATTTTTTTGTTCTCTTTTTTTCTCTCTCTTTTTTTTTTTAACGTTATACCAAAATTATAATAATCATACCAACAGTTATATATTATTCAATATAAACTGTCGTAGGTTTTGAAGATAGGAGAGATTTTTGTGTTTCTCGCGACGTATACGAGATAATCAATACCACCCAATAATAATTCGCAATACTAACAATAAGACGCTAAATAAATATTCACAGATGGATGTAACAAGTGCTAAACAAGCAAAGGGGGCTGAGGGGGGGGGACATTTTAAAAATGCTCTTTAAAAATTCTCCGAACATTCTTTCTGTCGTAATCGATATTCCGTGGGTGTGAGCATTCCTCTGAAACAATACGTGTATATAAAGTATATAACGTACATATACATAAGAACAGATGAGGATTTATTTATTATAAACAAAATAAAAATTGAATCTTTGAAATATATTATTTTTAAAATTATATTTAATTTAGGAAAAATAGAAATGTGTTTTGAAAAGAAAAAAAAAAGAGTAACTTTATATAATACCTTAAAACCGTGTCGAACGAAACGTTGACTCCTTTGTCGCACATTCGTTTATAAAGATGCCAACAATCTTTTTCTTTGCGTGTTTGAAATCGTGGCTCCGTTTCTATCGATATTGCATCTGAATTCTTTTCTTTCAAAGAAATCTCCGTGGTGTTAGGATTGACCTTTTAATAATGAGATAATTCAATGAATTATATAACGCGTAATAATTATTTTTCGATATACGAGTTACTCATTTGCTAAATAGATTAACTCAACGATGTGATAATATTTATTATTTAGTGATCATAAAACTTTTAGCTGTTTAATATTAATATTTTATCTACTCAATAAAGAAATTCATTTTAAATATAAATATGTAAGTATCGATGAGAAGTATTTCGGCAATAGAATTTTACAAAATTCTTAAAGTGGAGTTAATTCACTTTAGCATGCAAAAATGGCTCATATATATGTATGTATTAATATGTATATGTTAATTGTTCTCTCACATTTGAAAGTAAAAATTTATTAGAAATCGTTGATCGACGTGTAACTAATTGATCGTCAGTTGTTATTATTTCGTTATCTTTTTTCATCTCTATCATCGTTGCTTTTTTATCAAGGACACTGTAAACATATTATATCATGTTAGACTTCTTTAAATTAATAATTGATTCAGTTGATTCTGTCTATTTATAGTATGAACATATTTATTCGTACGCGGTATTATATAAATTAATAAAGAAAATGATGAATAGATCATAGATAATAATCGAAGATCCTTTGAAATCGAAAAAAAAAGACAATTTATTATAAATTTACATTGTAAATTATTCCGAGAAAGTGGAATAAAATGAGAATGGTCGTACCAGTATGTTACAGCTCTTTTGATAACGTTATTTGTAGTATATTATATCGACCCGGTTTTTTTTTCTCGACTATCGTAAATCATGGAATAATCAAAGCGTATTTCGTGACCTTTATGAAATATTAAAATGCGGATATCGTTGAAGAACCAACTTCATTATGGTTTAACCTACGCGCATAATCTATGTGCACTTAGTTGAAAGAAGGCGTACGCTCGAGTTGTAATATGCTTTTACTTTAACTTATAAATAATATTGTAAATAGGCGCAGATGTGTGTTAATGAAGTATGTGACAACGTATAGATTAATTATAGAGATCGTATTTTTCTGGATTTTTCAATGTAATTATTTTTATGAAATAAATTTGTATATATATATGAGCAGTTCAATCAACGACTAAACTCTACTTTATACATTTTTGTTTTCAGATTTTATTATCAAAGCATTTGATCAATACTTAACTTTCGATATCTAAAATAAAATTGCTTAATAATTAAGTTTAATGCAATTAAATAATAAAAATTTGCATAGTTGTTGAACGATAAATAATATGACAATGCATATTATACTTTATCAATTTTCTCTAATTTTTGTTTCGTGGAGTTAATCGATTTGGTAAATGAGAACTGCTCATATATATATATACTTTTCTTTCTTTAGGAAAAAAGAAAAAAACAAGAAGACTTACGATACTGTTGAAGTATTACGTATTCTATGTGACTTCTTTTTCATATCATCCACATTTCCGATTGGCACGGCTAGACTTCGCATGTCATGGTCCATTAAAGGAACGCATAAAGATTCGCTTTCATCTTGGATAAACGAAAGCATGGGAAAAGCCGTTTTGATTTCGTTCGATTTCCAATGAATCGATTCTTTGCTCGTTCCGTATTCTCCCGATAATTCTTTGGAATCTTTTATGAAATGATTTTGAGATATCGTAGCTTTTGTTTTTATACAATCAAATTGCGTTTTTTCCAGAGTGCAATCCTCGTCGAAAGAATCTCTTTGAAAGGAAACTAACATAAGAGATGCGTTATTTATTCGTTGAATATTTTCTCTTGTTATTGTTCAATAAGATTTCTTTTCGATTAACATAATATTAATGTGTACATTATTATTTTATAAGTTATTTTGCATATTGTTAAAATTTACATTTATGAAAATATTGTCATATTGAGATTGTATAAAAAATTGATTGGCTCGTTGATAAATTTGTTATGCAATTTTATGAATAATCGTTTAAAGTAATAAAAGAATGATAACCGAAATAGGTACGTGGTATTAACGAGCTAAACTAAAGCTTGAAAAAAAATATTGACTGCAGTTCCTATATGTATAAAAGTATGCTTGGAATGTTAGAAAGAAAGCTCACACGTTTTTCGGGTTTTATTAGTTCATTTAAAACTCAAATAAAGTAATTATTAGAGGTTGATTGCGCGTCGAGTTTCGATGAGATATTTTGCTCCATGAAGGGAGGTCCTTGAGGGTTAATAGGGTTGAGAAGAAGTTTGGTCGATTTAACATGTTCAATCGATTATAAGGATAGCACGAAGAAGATAGACAACGCTTTATGAAGAAAGCCTTTTCGATAATGCCGTTAGAAATGGCATCATAGACAAATACATACTGCAGTGTTCTACGCTTATGTAATAAGCAATCTTTGCTCGTAACAGCATGGATTAATTTCATTTGAAGAAAATATATGTCAGTTTATCGTATCTATCTCTAACATTAAATACAATCGATTGATAACACTTGATTTGTTCGAAAACTATGCTTACCATTCGTTACGTTTATAAACACGTTGGAATATCCTCAAAAAAATGTTAATTCTACAAAATATTTCGACAATTCTATTCAAAATATCGATCATAATGGCTCGCGTGAAAATTTTTCATTTACTATAGTAGCGTTTAATTCATGCACGATAGAATGTAAGCACAACGAACCAGCTAAGAGAGATAATTTATGGAATGTATGCGTCGCGTGTCTCGCACCCTTTGTAATTTGTTCCTTTAATTATCGTTGCACGCCTTGCCTCATCGTAACGCTTACGTCTCATCGAATTTCTACCTGGCTTTTATCAGTTTATTACGCGAATGTTGTTTTGTAACAGGCATCGCGAGTCAATGGGGGATTCAATATTAAAAACAAGTTATGATATAAATAACGAACAATTGGAAATACGCAATATTTCTCATTAATTTTATCGTATTCTTTTTACATATCGCCCAATTGTTTTCATTCGCGTTTATTAACTTTCGTGTTTTCAAAACTTACCTGATTTTACAGATTTCCTAATATTTCCTGGGATCGGTGTTGTCGAGGTTTTTATGATGGGCGTTGTAGATAATTTTTCTCGCAACTGATCGATCAATTTAGCTTCGTTCGGTGAATTTTCCAGATCGCTATCGCTTTCGGTAGAACTAACCAAAGAAACCATGGTAATGACGTCGTTCGATTTCCCATCGCAATCTTTCATAGATAATCCACATCGACCTCGTAAGCCATTATTGCATTGTTCATCTTTGCAAGCGGATCCTAAGCTGTGTTGTCGTTTTTTTATACTTTTAAGACGCTTTTTTAACGGAGCTGATTTTATTGGACGAACGTATGACGGCTGGGAAAAAATCGGTATAATTAAATATTATCGTAAGAAAAATTGATTAATAATATATATCTAAGAAAAATTAATATTAATTACCTTCAACAGAATATCTTTTTTTTTATCAAGAACACCTTCCTCGTTAACTTTTCCTTTGTCGTTAATTTCGTTGGAATTTTTTTGAATTGTATTTTTAGAATCACAGTTCGTATCTATAACGATATTTACTTGAATACGAGATGAATTTCTTCCTTGCAACGGTGCCGAGCTACTTCTTGACTTTCGATTAAGCTTTTGATCGTTTACGTTTTTAATCACATTTTTTGCTTCAATTTGTTTCATTTCCGTCGTTCTTTTACACAAAGAACTTCTTTGAACATCGGTATCGGCGGTCGACATTTTTGATACAACAGTCTTATCAGTTTCCGTGTATAGAAATGCTCGATTCGTACCGTTTCGAAAATTAGCGCGTTTCTGTTTCGCCGAGGTTGCTTCGTTTTGAGATTTGGAGACGTTTAATGCTGTAATTTCGGACTTTAACGTTGGTAATTTGATGTTATCCTCTGCCTCGATCGACACACTTTTTTCATTTTTATTGGATTGATCGACTGAAACCTACAAAATAATATTTATACAAAAATATGAATTATTTACACTGTCGTATTAAAGTTATACCTCGATTGTTCCTTTTAATGTCTCGTTAGTGGTACTTTCTACATACTTAATCCTCTCGATTGGCTCAGAATAGCAAACATCGTTTTGAAGTTTAACCGAAGAAGTTTCAACAACTTTTAAATTGTTCTCGATAACCTTCGTCTTTTTAGGTCTTTTTGTTTCCTTAATGTCCTTGTCTAAGTCCGTTCTACTTTCAAAAGAATCCGTACGCTTGGTCGTTTGAATTTCACACGTATCATCGCCGTAAGAATTATCCAAATGCTTGCTATCAGTAATAGGATGTCTATCATTTTCTGATGATCGAAGTATTTCATTTTTGGAGACTGGTGGTGGTGGTGGTGGTGTTTGCGGTTCCGATATGGCAGGATAATTCGATGATTCAGAATTGCATCGTTCCTCGCGTACACCATGCGCCAAATATATATCGATATTGGTTTTATTTTCTTCGCGATGTTTCCAGGCAAGTCTTAATCTTTCTGTAAGCTCTTGCCTCGAATAAAGTATCGAAGCCTTTTCTCCGTTTTCAATTATATTCCTGTTTCGAGATTTTTTCGTGGTTGACTTTGACTTACCAGTGATTTGACGTGCAACGACTTCTACTTGCTCGATGCTGTTATTTTCACGGTGTCGTTCGCTCCAAGCTATGCGTACCTACAAGATTCAACAAAATTTGTTAATTATAAAAAAGAAGATGGGTAATGGAAAAGGAATACTATTTGTCGATTAATATATATTAATATCAACTAATTTCTTATTCTTAACGACGAACGAATTAATATTATTATTATTCGATATTTAATGAATAAAAGGACCTTCGGTTTCGAAGATCCTGATCTCGAATTAACTCGACTTCTATCAGATCCAATAGGATCATTGTGAATCTTTGAAGATTGCTCGTCGTCCGACGTTTTTTGTCGTCTCAATTGCAATCTTCGCGGCGTGGGTGGTTGTAATGAGAGTTGACGAACTCGAACAACCGATCTACGAATCTCTGACATTTGTACGTTTTTCTATACAAAAGAATGATTCAATTTTGTCAAATGTTTTCATTCGTGGTATCAATTGAAAAATAATGAAATATATATTTTTGTCTTTTTTTAAATCTATTTATTTACTACACGTTAAATATATACCTTTGGCAATTCGAACGATTATGATTTTCCAAAATGATTGTTGGTTGAATTTTTTTTCACATACATATATATATATATATACATACATATATATACATATATATACATAGATTAGTAACGATTCAATTATTTACTATCTCTCTTTCTCTCTCATGCGAATGAACGAAAATATGATCGGATCATTCGCATCGTGTTCACAGCACGATCGAATGCCGACTGACGAGTTTCATCCATTGCCCTCTTCTACTATGATCGTTTTACCACTACTACTTTGTTCGTGATTCAGTAGAGAATTTCTACCACCCTCTCACCGATAGGAAAAGTAGGAGAGTGGTCGAACAGTACGTTGCTTTTTTGTATTTCGTGCAGCTGGGGGTCGCGTTATATCCACAACGGCAATTACCTTGAACCCGCCCTCATCTATATCTTCTACGGATTTTCCGTTGAGGTATTCGAACTCAAGAATCGATCCGTGTTTCATGATTCACGAACTTGCAACTAGAGTTAGGAGTCTCTTAAAATTAGTTTAGAAACACGATATATGCCATTTTTGCTTTTTCAAGATCATTGTACTTAATGACTTGTTTGTATATTCGTAAAAATTTACTATATCAATATCCATTTTTCTTCCTTTCTATCTAGTAATATTTTTATTGATATTTTGAAATATTATATACGTCAGGATATTTTAAATTTTATTATAATGATATTGTCTGAATAATTACTAATATCGTTTATTATAAAGGTACAGATTCGTTATACATATTTATCGATCTTTTAAATTTGATCGTTGGACGTACGAATTTAAATTCGATTCTCTTCCATCAACAAATCGTTTCAAAGGTGCAAGACCTCTTTTCTCCTATTGTCTATGTAGCATATAGAATTCTCGAAATCACTAATAGAACACTCGAAGGTTTGTCAGTAATCCAGGATTATTGATCAAAACTATTCGGTTGGCAATTAAGTAAGTGCGGATTTTTTGGTTGGCAACTAAGTGAGCATGGTTACTTTTAACAAAAACCTATTGAAAACACAGGCCTCGGAGGGGGGATATTTACGTAAGTACTTATTTATACAAAGAGAAAGAGAGAAATATAGATAGATAGATAAAAAGAAAGAGAGAGAAAGAGAGGTCCCCCGGGGACCTGTAGGTTTTTATTAAAGTAACCACACTCGCTTAGTTGCCAACCAACAAATCCGCACTCACTTAGTTGCCAACCAAATATTTCGTGATCTGGCAGCTTGTTGTCTGTAGTTGCCATGACATCACCCATCATACGAATCCACTTTTCTATCTTTCTGATTCTTACTGACACTGTGCCATACTTTCGATTAATATGGCAGTTTACTTGAAGTCAAAGTTCTAAGCATTATATTGCATTAAAAAAGATTTAGTAGAATGATATTTAAATATCGGTAAGAACGTATTGTTAATATTTTTCAAATAAATCGTATTTTATGATATTGGTTTAAATATATTAATAATAATAATAAATCATAATTATTATTATACAATAATAATTACAAATAAAATTCTATCGCGATTTAACATAAGTTAATAGAAGTACTTTATTAAGTTTTATTTTGTATGTGTATATATATGTACATAGATATTTATAAGTAAAATATGCTTGAATGAATACAAGAAAGATTTCTTTCTTTTTAATTAAATGTATGTCGATAATACAGTTAGGGGGTAGTAACAAAAAATACAGAAGTACATAGAAGCTCACAAGTCCCCCTTTTTTTCTAACCAGATTCATCTTAGTTACTAACCTGACCACCAGTGGGCGATAGTTAGTATTTAAGTTAAAAATTAAGTTAGTGTTAACACTTATATCTGCCCTCTAGTGCCTAAACTTTGTATCAGACTTTTAAAATCCTGACGCCATCTAGTATGACCATAAAATAACACAATGAACGTTAAAAATTACTTGTATCGAAATCAGTGTGAAATAATTTCGAATTTAAAGTGTGTGTTAATAAACTGTAAGTTACTTTTATATTCTGTATTAAAAGTATGTTAATATTGTTTAATATTATCTATTAATATGTATGTTGTTTAATATAAGTATGTATAAAGTATGTAAAGGTTATCTCAATGTTTTATCGTCAGTTATTCTTTATACAAATTTTATTTCTTATGAATGAATAGTATTATAAGCAAATATAATACTAGATGAGTCACGAAACGAGACGTTTCAAAATAATTCGTAAAATATGCATTGTATGAAAAAATGTTTCCTGCATAGTTAAACTAAATTAGGAGCCAAATGTAATGGTAAACAAAACTTGTTTTTAAGATACTTTTTTAATGAGATATCAAGGACATCGTTATTTTTTTGAATGAAATGCCTAATTTATTTTCTAGATTCTGATAAAGCATCAAATTATGCATAAAAACTATCATACTATGTAGGGCTTAAAATGAATAATTACTGAGATATTCATAAATAAGTTATTCGGCATTACATTGCTAATTTAACGGATCTGTAATTACAATTTAGAAGACAAATTTGTTTATGATAATATAATAATATTGGTAAACATATTTTATATATGTTTAATATGATATTGTCAATATGAACATTTTTTCATACAATGCATATCTTACGAATTATTTTGAAACGTCTCGTTCCGTGACTCACCCTGTATTTTTAAAAATATATTCTATTGATTATTTTAAGGATAATATATTAATTATTTAGAAAAATGGCTGCTAAAGAATCGAACGAAGATCAATTAAATAATTCTATATCTTCTACTACAAGTAGTATGGAAATAGAATCTCTTAAATCACAATTAAAGATATCCTTTTAAAATTAGAATGTTTTTTGTTTTTTAAATAAATATTAATATTTATATTTTCCTTAATTTATTTATTTATACGTCGCCTCATTGAGTCCAAATCCAACTATGAAAATAGAAGAATGGTTACAATTGTTTGAGAAATTGTTGTCTATGTACAAGCAAGAGCTGTACGATGAAAGTATTTTCAGTCAAATTTTGCCTATGGTTCATTCTCTCCTATGTCAAGTAATTTTTTATTTGCATAAACTATATTGTAATTTAGCTTTTTGTAATAATAGATTAATAAATTTCTACTTAACAGGTTTTCAAACTAATTAATATATTTTTGACAAGTACTACAGAATCAAACATTTTGAGTAATATAAAAGACAAATTATTTGATAGTAGTTGTATATTGCATTTTTATAAAAAATCAATGGAATATGCATTTAGTTGTGGAAAGATTTCCATTGAATATGTTAAATCGCTGTCTGAAACGTTACTTTCTTCTACAAACCTAATTTTTGAACATTTTCAGTTAAGGTAATTTATTAATCTAGTAGTAGTATATTGCTTAATTAATTTACTATTATTTCTTATATCTTCTTTTAATTTAATCAATTTTATTATATTGCAAATTATTTTTCAGTTCAAATACTTATGGAAAATTTTTTAAAGATTTATCCAATGATTTAAAAAGTCTTTTCCAAAAAACAAATGAGATTTTCAGTATATTTTTGATTGCATTAGATGATGTTATTATTTTTGACGTTAAAGTAGAATCTGAAATGACATCATTACTGAACGGTATATAATTTTACAAAAATTTATGGTTTTTTTTTTTCTTAAAAAGTTGCAAATAATCGAATTTATTGTTAGTATTATATTTTTTTACTAATATCATTTTTTGTTATTTTATCATATAGTAATAACATTACTTGGTGCTGTTGCTGCAAATTTACAGAGCTTAGACTTGAAATTTTTTGTGAAAGTAACAATGATTTTTGGTAAATTAGCTATGACGTATATCTCTGATATCAAAAAAATATCTCCAGAAAAAATGCTTATGTCATTCCAACAAATAACTGAGAAAACCAATCTTTTATATTCCACAGTTTTGGTATTAATATTATCCTTTATCTTTATTATTTAAATTTAATTGTGAAAGTTTATTTATATCTACTTTTTAATTAGGATCCAAATAGTAAAATGAAAGAATGGATATTAAGAAGTGCTTGTTTAATTTTAAACGTCATTATTAGATTGACTTCAGCTTACAACGAATATTTAAGTGATGATTTTCTCTTTACATTAACTGAACTTCTATTGAAACTATATAGGTATATCATTATTTAAATTTTTTCTTACTTTATTAAAAAAAGTATATCGCGTTAAAATATAATATAAATGTGCTTCGTTTGACCCAGATGTATTGCCTTGTTAACAAACAGTATAACAAATGATATGCTGAAAAATGATATTTCATCAACAACAACGAATCTTCTTAATGCTCTTCTGAAAACTAACAACTTTAATCAAGTTTGTTAATTTATTTTAATATTATCACTTAATGATAAATGAGTTCTTTTTTATAATTTATTAAACTATTTTAGATTTATTTTCAATATGGAAAAAAAAAGGATGGCGATAAATTAGGTTTTCATTTATTAACACTTGCGATTTTGGAAGTAATAAATAAGATTCCATATGATAGACATTGTATATGGATATTAGGATCACAATCAGTACTCGACGTTGTTTTCACAAATTTTAATTATTGTAAGTGATTATTTTTTTTTTCTTTTTTCAAATAAGTCAATAGTAATCTAGATCGTTTGTGTATACATTTGCATTACGTTCGTTTTATAATTATTCATTTTTTTTTTTTTTACGAAGTACAAGAAGAACTTTATACAGAAGAATTGCAGCTCACGAGCAATTACAGTTTCGAAAAAAAAGCAGGTTCTAATGATCTTTATACAATAACTTTAATATCGAGTAGCAAATTTATTATTTCCATGCCTTATGAAAATTTCCATGTTGTCGAAAAAATATTACTAAAACATCTTTTGAGCGGATACTTTTGGAGTTCTTTACTTAGTTCTGATGTTTGGTATCTCGTAGGACGGTGAGCTAATCATTTTTTTAATTATGTCTGGATTACTTGATATTTATTAAATATTTGGTAATTTGGAAAATATGATCATTCTTTTTTTTAGGTACAGCTCATCCGATTTATGTAGTTCTCACGTGAAATATTTAATGCGCACATATGCTGTTTTGATCGAACGTAACGATACTTTTGAAGTATGTATTTTAAGAAATTTGATTAGCAGACTTTATACTTTATTACAGGAAAATGAAAAGCATTCTGTAGTGATCGAATTAGACGATATAGATGCGTGTTTATGGACACCTTTTTCACAATTGTTACCGAATCAAATGCGCATGGTAATATGGAAACGTTTAGCTTTTAGAATAAATAACATTCAAGATTTAGTAGACGATTTTTTCGAAGAGCCTAGTGAACGACAGTGGTATCAATTGGTAATAATAACTTGAATATCTTAATGATATATTGTTTGATATCATTTATAAATTAGTGCTATTATTTATATTATTTTTATCGTAGATGAAATTAATACCAGCAACAAACAAATTTAATTCTTCAGTGGACACAGAAATATTTAATGTTGTTTCCAAATTATGGGAATTTATTACAAATATTATTGAAGAATGCGAGTATAGATATTTATTTATATTATCTGATTTTTCCATGAGTATGCTTGATGGTACTAAATACGACTTTTTTAATAAAGATTCTGTGCGTATATTTTTGTTATTTTCATATTTGAAAAACGCAAGATTAAACTTCGATCTGTACGATTCGTTCATTTTGTTTTGCAGATCATAAATGCTATAGATAATTTATCTTTGCACGCATTACCTCATGCGAAAATAAAGATAGCATATTATTTAGAAGATTTAATTGCGACATTTAAGAAGTACCAACCTAATAATGTGATTAACGGAGTCGTAAAGATACATTCTAGATTGTTGGAGGATGAAAACCCGTGGGTGTATCAAGAAAATCTTGAATGTTTTGATCGTTTTTCAAGTACGTGTCTTAGCGAAGGACTTGTGGTAAAAATCGCGGATACCATTTCCGGAAAATCAATGATTTGCGATTCCGTACCTGCATATCTGTCGCGCAAGCAATATTACAAATTGCAAGATGTCCCAGATATTAAATTCTATTTATTGTGTTTAGTTAAAAATTCCCTTAATAGGAGTACGAGGCATATCTGTATGAATTTCAAAGATTCCAAAAAAGATGTAAAGATACCAAGGATAGAAACAGAAACAATCAAATGTAATATTACATCTCAAGAACTGAATGAGCGCGTAAATTCTATATGCGAGGAATTAAGAAATCTTTTAAAACGGAAGAGTGATATTAATGAAGTTTCTTTGAGAAATTTGCGAACTGTGCTTACAAGACTTACGGAGTAATTCGTCGAAATAAGTTACATAGATGGTAATAAAAAAATAGGCTTCATAATTTCTAGGGTAGATAGTACTCGTCAAATGATGAAAAAAGTCCTAATTATTATAAGACGAAAAAATCAGTATTTTCAAAGTTATAAATAATTTTTTGTTTCAATTGAAGCGAGTATTTTTCTCGCTTCGGAAGCTGTTGAACACAATATAGAAACAATAGATTTCATAATTATTTCTTCTTTTCCTTGTTGCAGAAGGCTTTTTTAATATATCTTTAGTGTCTTATAAAAAAATAATGATACACTTGTTTAACAATTATAATATCGAATTTATTATGTTATTTATGTTTTAATGGTGCTTTGTCATTTTATATAAAATAAATGTGAATCTTAAATGACACAATCTTATATATTACTAAATACATTAGTAATGGCTTAATAAGCAAATACATTACATTTTGATTAATTAATAATAATAGTCTCTACTATTATACGAGACAGTTCTAGCCCTTAACTCCACCTTTAGTGTGCCTCTATAACAAGATAAATGAACATATAAATTATTAATTATATTTTTCATTGATAGTTTCATAAATCTTGCTATAAACTTGTCAATAATACATCTTCACTTTGTTAAGATTCTACATACCGTCAGTGGTTCCTTCTCTCTCTTGTTTACGATTTTGCAACGTGGACGAGCAAATGCTCCGTAAGATTGTTTGCACACGCAATCCTCTTCGATTTCGGTGTCGACAAGACCACTAGTAATTCTTCGGGCGACTACTTGAACGAACTGTTTCCTTTGATTAGGTTTCGCTTCCAGAAAATTGCTCGAACTAAATGCTGCTCCACCAGACTATTATAAGAAATGATTTTTAATAAATCCATCATCAGAAATTATAACAAAATCAAATAAAAAAAAAGAAACATAGAACGTATGCTTACGGATACGGCAAAGTCTGCACAAACATCACTTGTTGATAAGACAAGGTTATTTCTAAGATCGTTACTTCCTTCCATAGGTCTCTTTTTACTATCAGAGAAAGTATAAGCACTGTCATAATCGTAACCAACAATATTTTTTTGTGGCTTTCCAGAAATAAGAATATCGTCCAGGAATGATACGTGGTAATATTCTAGTCCCAGATCACGATATACTTTTTGTCCAAGAAGTAAACGCAATTGCTGTAACTGTTAAGATTTTTTTCTTAATTAAATATGTCGATATAATTGAATAGAATGTTATTAGAGTGAATAATAAGAAAATAGACTAACTGAAATGAGCAGAGGACTCTTTTCACATGGGCTAGCGATAACACCAACAACAGCTTTAACTGCTTCTGGTCTGAATTGATAATTTATTGCTTGTTCATAAGCCTCGGTCAATTTGAAAGTACCAAATTCGACGTCATATCTTTGCTCGAGATATTTAATTCTCTTAGTTGTGTCTCCTTTTATAGCTTCCTAAAAATTATGATATAAGACAAATATAAGTGATCGTAAGGCTATATGAGTATCATATGACTTCATAAAATTCTTTCATGTTAGATAAGTTTAATTAGCTTACTGGTAGTGATATGATCGGGTTCTCTCCTTCGAATTTAATGTTCTTTACTTCACCCATGATGTTTGTGTTGCCGTCTGTTGTATAATGACGTGGCTGGTTTAAGTGTTCGCCAAAACCAACAAGACCGATATGAACGTCACTATAAATTCATTTCGTTTATTATTATTGTTTCCGTTTCTTTTTTTTTTGTTTTAAAGTTGTTATAATTACATACAAAGTGTATGATATAATACGTACGTTAAGCCATGTTGTTTCAATTCTTCTCTTAATTCATTCATAAGTGGTGCAATCATATCCTTGAAAATTTTCTCATTTTGCACTGTCTCTTCTACTACGAAGATAATATCGGCTTCTTTCTTTGGTAGCTTGACACTGAATGTTTCACCAACAGTTAATGAATTTGCGCCAACTTTACAGCTTACTAAAAGGATAATAATTTGATTTATTTCACAGAATTATTTTTAATTGTAGAAAAGTATAATAAAGAATAAAGAATACCGCAACTATTAGGAATGCTTATGCCAAAAACATTGTGTTCGTAACAGGCAGCATAATATGCCATTGCAATCAAACATCGTCCATCCTTAGAAATGCCAGCATTAACGATTTGATCGCAAGCTACCTGATAGTTTTTCGGGTCAACAATTTTAAAGCAGGAACTAAAACATTCAAATAAATAGGTAGAAATATAAAACATTTTCCATATCCTTTTTGATTTTAATAGGAGAAATGAAACAATATATCTATAGATACCTTAATGGCGAAGTAGAACTGGTAAAATATTCGGCACAAGCTGAAGTTGGTGCGCCAGGTTTAACAGCAGTAACTGCTGGACAATCTCCTTTTAATTTGTAAGCATTTCCGAACTCACTCCCGTCTTGAGTAATCTAGAAATGTTACGGAATTTGAATGTGCGTTATTCCATAAATAAATAATAATGTTATAAATAAAATTAATAATATGATAAAAAAGTACCTTTCCAGATGGTAAAGTATAATCATCATATGGTTCGTTGTTGCCATCACCAAGAAGCCCACGTAATTTGCCAAGGTAAAAGCCAGAAACTCGAATTGTACAAATCATAGGTGCTTTTCCATTACATATTACCCGTACACCGTAATCAGACTTCACATTTACTAGTGGTTTGGTCAAGAAAGCATGTAGATTCTTTGTATTAGCAGGATAATCCGCGGGTTTGTTGTTTACCAAGATCTGCCAATGTATTTATTTTTAAGTATTTTTTGTAAAGAATGTAATAAATGATCAATAGATATGTATGTACTTCACAATCAATCATAAATATTTTAATTACTTACGTTTCCATTGCTTTTCAGCGTGATACTTTCTTTGGGTTCGGTAACAGTTACACTGACTAGAACTCCGTTTTGGAAGTTGCCGATAACAGAGAAATTACCATCTAGCATGTCTTGTACTAGAATATAATTGCATGTTCCAGGCAATGTCAAATGATTTCCATCGAATGTAAAGATGTGTCCTCCATCAATGACAGTTCCTGTCTTGCCGAATGGCGGTACGATGTCATTTAGATGCACAGTAGGCCTGTATGAATATCGTCATAAAAAGATACAATCGTGCAAAAGAAAGGTATGTTGTTACCCTATATAATTGGACAATACCAAAACTTCGAAAAATCAATCTCGAACATACCTGTACGTGTAGTAAATATCAAGAGGTGTTGGTAATTCACCGTTTTGCAAAACATTTAAGACTGAAACTCTCAATGAGGCAATACCAGGTAATTTAGTTAAAATACCCAAGTTGATTGGTATTTTTGTGTCAAAAATGTTTTTAATATCATAATAGAGTGATGGTATTTCTAGGAAACTTATTAAGGATTTAAGTACAGCAATGCCTTCCGTATAAATTTTATTCAATTGTTGAACATTGTCAGGCTGTAAAATCAAAACAAAATAATTTTTATCATCAAATTAATTTTTTTAAATATATGTAAAATTAAATTATAATAATATTTACCTTTTGTCGTTTGATAATCATTAATATGTACTCGCATATTGAACTGAAGAAGTGTTTTAATTCTACTGTAGGTAATCCTGCATTTATCGCGTTGCAAAGTTCTTCAATAGGGTTTGTTATTGTTTCTGGTACTTCGAAGTTTATGATCTGATTATATTTCTCTTTTGCAATTTCATAAACAGGTAAAGCTTTGGCTTGATTAATGAGCAAAGTTACAAATTCATTAATGTCCTTTTTGAGTTGTTCAGCTGCTTTAAATAATACTTTGGCAACACCTTGGAAAAGTTCTGTTACCACAATAGCCAATTCTTTTATTTCCTTTTGGTGATCATTAATGACATTTAAAATAACTTTTAAATAAATCGTGGCTACTTTTGCAGCTGCATCTAATAGTTCCACGAATGCGTCAAAAATTTTGTTATAAGATTCTTTTATTCGAGGATAGGTTGCTTCCATTGCTTCAGTCAATTTAGAAATAACTACGTTGTATTGCTTGGAGAGCTCGTTAAATTGTTCAATAAGTTTTTTAATAAACTCATTCGCCGCATTTATAAATGACCCAAATCGTTTGTTTCTGTTTTAATTACATATGTTAGACAACGATATTATTTAAGAAACGTTTAAAAAACATTAGTCATATGATTACTTACATATTCGCTTGAATCTCTTGAATAGTTTTATCAGCATTGAGTTCGTTTTTAAATTTATTTAATTCACCAGAGTAATAATCCAAAAGTGGTTTCAAATTTGGCTGAGCTTTTTTGGTATGTTCTAGAAGATCCTTGAGTTCCGTTACAATTTCCTTACCCGTATCAGCTGTAACTGTTTTCACTTGTTGCGCTATATCAAGAATCTGCTTTTTGCTGTAATCCTATATGAAAATAAAAACAAATATATTAACTGCATAGATATAATATATAGCAAAGAGTATGTAAATATATTTGTATATTAAGTATTATATATTACCGCTACGTATTCAATATTATCCTTGTCATATCCAAAATCGGGTTTCAAAAATTTGTTTTCATCAAGGTGCACTAAGATGTGGAACAAATTTTTCTTTTCACCATTTTTGTAAAAATTAGAATGAACTTCTGCAAGTTCTCCTAATACAACACGACCATTAGCAGTCAATTTGTTGTCAGGGTTGCCTGTAAAAATATGATTGTACGTATATTTCTTTTTTTAATATTAATTATTAAAAGAGTTATATCGTTAAATCGTTATTTACCCTTTTCGTATTGTACAAATTTGAAGTTGTTGAAATCGTTAACTTCAATGGTAGCAATAACAGGCTTTCTGTCGAGAATGTTAGTTTTTATTTCCACTTTTTGTAAAGTTTTAGAACATTCCATTTTTACATCGGATCTAATGATTTCTCTGCTGGGAAGAGTTATCAAGAGATGAGCTTCATTCTGATTAGCAGAGAATAATTGTATGGTACTCCTTGGTTTTTGATTAATATCCGTGTATGAAAATATAGAACCGGCTCCTATTTCATTAGTTGACAATGTCAAATGCGTTTTATGTTCGATCTTGAGTTGTTGACCTTTACTAAGTACTTCAATTAATCCAGTTATATTATAGCCTTTTTCAATTGGTAAGCGTACTATCTTAGCAATCAAATTGACTTTTTGCGATTTTTTCGCGAAAACATCAATGTCCATACTAGCATCCAATAGATTTTGGTTGCTGCTATGCAATTTACCTTTTACCATCATGTCCTAAGAAGAGTATGAAATATATTATCTAATTGTAAATTATTTTTTTTCTATAACTTCAATTTGTTTTTTAACATATTAATTTATTAAATTTATTATAATAATTGTACCTTTGTCTGTGATGGATATGTAAGTTTAGCTTCACCATTAATGGATAAACTAGATTTGTCAACGTTAACATCACTGTTAATAGATAAACTTGTTTTTTCTGACGGATTATTTTTTCTATCTAAGAATGAAGAAAGTGCTAATTTGTATGATCCAATTGGCTTACTTTTCGGAAGATCAAATGTTGCAATAAGTGCTAGCTCACGGCTTGGTAAAGTTAGAATGGCAGCTGTAATTACGAAAGAAAGTTTTCATCTCTTACAAATCCGATTGATAAATATTTTAACAATGTCATTAACAAAAAATATTCTTACCAGCTTCCTTTGGATGAATATAGAGTTGATAAGTGTATTGAGATTTATCTTTAGTGGAATGCATGTATAAACTAGCTGTATGATCAAGCATATTATTCGCAAATTGAGTGCTAATTTGTAAACCAAATTCGGCAGGTATGTTGAACTTCCTCAAATCGAATTCGACTGTTTGTTGTTGTTTCAGATAAGTTTCTTCTAAAAAAAAAAAAAAAAGAAGAAATTAGTCATTTAATTATACAAAATACCAGGGTCCGTCGCGAACGTGTTAATTTTTATCTTTTCAAAATATGAATCTGATGATTCGAAAATACACTCACTGTCTGTGTCCAAAGTTGCTTGATATTTGAAGTGCGCACAGTCGTTATTTTGCTCGCAATAACTATTGAACACGTGTAATTCTTTATTTGTAAATTTGATTTCACCAATTATTGCAGATGGTCCGAAATAAGCATTAAGAACCATAGCCACGCCAGTTTCACCATCAGTTTCATGTGTCAATTGTTGACGAGTATATTTAAAAGAAGAACTTCTTACGTTGTCACCAATTTTCAAGCTACCATTACCCTCTACAGTGAGTTTGCCTCCTTCTTCGTGTTTTTTGTAATTTGTACTGCGAAAATATAAAAATCTCAGTACAAATTTGTAAAAAGTATGTTCTTGTACAGGGTGTATCCGGACAGGTGGTACAACCGGACGATTCAAAATGTGGAAATAAGTCATGAGAACAAAAAAAATAGTAACTTTTTTCGTTTGAAGTTTCATTTCCCCCCCCCCCCCCAAAAAAAAAAACCGTTTATATAATTTATCTGGAATAGGCGTACATTGAATTATCTCTCGAAACGACAAACATTTTTTTTGTTTACTTATGTTTCCTCATTCATTGTCATCCCTCTGTTATATTTGGAATTTGGCTGTACGATTTATTTATTTTATGTTTAGTTTCTCTTTAGTAGTCGAACTATGACGACGACGCAACAGCAGTTAATTATTATTGATAACGATTTTCAAATCGTCGCAACGAGATAAAAGGGTGATCCAGAGAACAGAGCAAGGAATTAATTAAGTACGATTCCTTTCGTGATTATAATTAATCTAGTAATAACAGAAGATTATTAAATTACAAATTTTCAAAGAGAATTTTCTCTAAAATTCGGTGCCTCGAACAGAAAAAGGTTACTTTTTTATTTGAATTTACGTTAACATGTAGAATTACTTCTGCATGATCGTATTACCTGTCCGTACACATCCTATGTTATTTTGATTATAAATAATAATAATAAGCAATGTTAATAAATACCTTCCAGTTACCAAATTTTTGCCGTCGCTGGTGACAGTGATAATAATCCTTTTTCCAGTTTTAGCAGTAGGTTTGGTAGATATCTCAGCAAAAATTTTACGTTCTTTTAATTTATCGCTGTCGAAGTTGATAATAATTAAGAAATCATCGATACTGACTAAGTTGACTCGTCCCTCACTTATAACATATCCTACCGGTGTTATGACCCTCAATTCACCTAAAGAACAAGAATTAAACAATGAAATACTTGTGTGCTAAGTTTTTCGTATTATTTTCAATAGGAAAATTCAAATCACCTGTATATTCGGTATCACTGAGTTTCGAGTAAGCAGATAATAATTCTGTCACGCCGCTTGGACTAGTAAAGGTAATGTGAATCCTTGGTTCCGTTTTCATTTGTTGAATTTCAGTGTTTAATGTATATTTCGAATCGTCCAATTGTAAGGTGGCATCAGTTTTTCTGTAGTTCGTTTCTGGTTTTTTCTACAAAATCAATTTAGCAAGATCATTATTTAAAATTTTCCGAAATGTTTTGTAAAATTACAGTTAAATCTACATCGATAATTATTTTGATCAAATTCGAACAAAGACATTATTTACCTGATGGTTAAAATGAAAATCGATATTTTTTAATTTTTCCATAGTCGTCGTAGCTTTAGCATTGATGTCAATCATTGATAAATCAGTAGCAACAGCACCGTTAAGAGACAACGTTCCACCCTTGTCACCATAATGCAATTTTATCAATGAAGAACCTTTGTTTATATTATCAGAGACAACATTATTGAATGTACTTTCAATAATTAAAGTTGGATAATGAAGAACAGTCAAACTAATCTTTCCACCGCCTTCGTTGCCGTTGCTGTCAACCTTGTATTTTAAATGGGTATCCATTTTAATATTTTTGTCGTTGTTATAAGTAAGTTCATGAACACCTGAATACTCCAAAAGATTATTTTCTTGAAGATTTAATAACACATTTTCGGATACATGTAATTTGATATTTTGTAACTTTTCAAACGGCAGTTTAACTTCACCATTAAATTTGGATTTGTAAGGTACGCCTACGTTGTTACCACCAATGTAATTACCATTAATCTGTAAATTATATTATAATGTTTAGATAATTGTCGAAACATTGTACTTCATTTCAAATCTATTTTATTGTAAAAGATATAAATTTATAGTATAAAAATAATATATACAAAGTCGATTTACTTACCGTAAGATCAAAGTCATTTCCAAGAGATGATTTGATTTTATATGTTGCATCATTTTGCCCGTAATCGCTATTTATTCCAAAAGCAAAGGGTTTGTGTAGAAACGATCCCGAATGTTTTAAATCGAGTTCTACCTTATTCTTCGACGCGTTTTCGAGAATATTAAGAACTAAATCGGACACTAAATCACGCCCATCAAAACCAACGTAAGTTGATTGTATATGCGACACGAAAGTTATTTTATCTATATTTAAATCTTTAAGATCGACCTTGTACGTTAATTTCTGTGACGCGTCACCTTTCTTGACGTGATCTATAATTTCAGATTGTACATTAATATCGTACAAGTTGTCTTTCTTGGCCGATACTCGTTTTCCAGAAAAGACTATATATCGTCCAGTTGGTAGAGTGGTATCTGCATTGATCGTTAATTCACCATTATTCAGTGTTCCTTTAAGATCACCTTTCACATTTAATTCTAATTTGTATGAGAGAACTTCTAGGATATTTTTAGTATCGACCGATGTCTCTGTAATGTCAGAAACGGATGATAATTTAATGCGTTTAGTTGGATTTTTGTCAGCATCGTATAACAATTCAACGTTAGCTGTATGTTGTGATCCGGACACGGTTAAATCTCCGTGAGCCTTGATCTTGCGATTGTATTTAGGAATATCGATCGTAATAAGTCCGTTTCCTTTGCCATTGTTATAATTATATTGTCCGACAACGATCAAATAATTCTTCACATTCAAATTCAACTTTCCATTGGGATTTGGACCATTGTGATTTTTAAGATTGAAGTCTAAATATTTATTTCCAGCAACTGCAATGACCGCGTGGGAATTAATGTCATCCAATTTAACTTCAAGAGCGGTATCAGTCGTGACAGCTTTACCATTTAGATTGAGATCACCGTTCAATTGTAAAATGAGAAGGTTTTTATTTATTTCGTAAGTTACTTCCCCATTGGCCTCGTATTTACCACCTGGCGATAGTTCGATAGAATTCTGGAACTTACTTTTTTTTCTAATCTCAATGACCGTACGCTTTGATTTCAATTCTATTTTATTTTGCATAAGTTCAATCTCCAATTCAACTTCGTAGTCGCCTGGTTTAACCATATCGGTTTTCAGTAACAATTCGGTACCAAATTTGAATTTTTCGTATTTTATATCGAGATCAGCTTCTAACATTGAAGTAGTTATTTTCCCGTCGATTTCCATAAGTGCATTAACAGCGGGATATTTCAGTTTTGTCGATCCCGATAAAAGAAAATCTTTTGCATTAAGATTGTAATCGAGGTGTTGTTCCAAAGTGAAACGATTCGTCTCGGAGTTTGGATCAGCTCCGTGAATAAAAACGAATTTATGATCAAATTTCCGTGGTTGCCTGTTGTATTCCCATTTAGCGTTAAATCCAATATTTGGATCTTTCGATGGCACGGCTGATAATTCTACTAGATAATTTTTTTCCCCTAATCTATTGCCGTTCAATTTTAAAGCTAAATTCTCATCCCCATAACCGAGTTTCATGTCGAAGATAGCTTTGTTAGTTGTGGAAACAGCATATCCATCAAGAGAAACGATCTTTTTGTTACCACCGATAATGACTACATTTTCAAACGTGTACTTTTTACCATCTTCGTAGTCATTAACACTAACAGCACCATCGACTTTGTATAATTGACCACCATCATGTCCACCCTTGATTGCCATCTTCGTGGTTGATAATTTCTCGATATGTTCCGGTACTTTATATTCTAATACAGGCTTGTACTTGTTGCCATTAGCGACAATACCAGCACGGAAGAAGTAATCGTTAAAATCGTGTTGAGCGGTAAGCGAGAATGTTTTCTCCTCGGGTCTGTTTTTGATGATAACTAAAGCTGAAGCCTTTTTCAGAGGCATATTGAGATCTACCTTGAAATATTTATCTGGTTCGAGACCACCTTCTACCAGCAAGGAAAGGCGTCTGTTCGTTTTGCTATTGGGCGTATCGAACAAAATTTCCAAGCCACGCGCATTGGGCACGTTTTGGTTATAATAAATTTTAAAGTAATAATTCTTAACGTCGTCGTTTTCAATGGCTATGCCAAATTTAGTTGGGCCGCTCAACGGGAAGAAAGGTTTACTTTTAATTGATTCAAGATCGTTGTATGGGAGCTGAATATGCCCTTTCACACTCAAACCTAAAAGTGAAGACAATTGTTCGAAACGATCTGAATAGTCCCTGCTTTTTCCAAATTCAAGGGGAACGAGATTTTCACCCTTTGCAAATAGAACTTCGCTGGATACGGAGATAAGCTGTTGTGTCTTTTTAGGGATACCAAAGTTAACGTCAAACCCAGTACCGTCGAGCATTCTGATGGACAAGTCCGAAGCTGTATCGGTTACGAGAGTAGCAGCAATAACCACACCAGATTTCTTATTTAATGTCTCGAGCATCATGCTACCGGTGATTCTGATCGATGCACTTGGTTCAAGAGCAATTCGAACAGCTGCGTTATCTTGGTCGCGCAAAATAGTTGCCACATCCAATTTTCCTTTAGCCTTTAAATTAACTACACTAGTTCCTGTTACACCCAATGTCAATGGTATACCCAAACCAGTTGGATAGACCAGTTCAGCGTCTAAAAAGTGAAGATGATTTTGGAAGTTATAATCGAAGTCCTTAATCATGTCAAATCCTGTTTCGAAATTTGCAAATATCTTATCGATAAGTTGCTTCGGTTCGAATGTCTGCGGATTGTCCTGATAACTCAAATATGCGAGTTCTACGCCAAATAATTTCACAGACAAGTCAACGTTAAGGTCCTCATCTACTTCGGTGTTACGTAGCCGTACATTTTTTGCAAATTTGTCTAATTCACCTTGTTTTACTTCGCGTTTGTTACGTTTCAATTGATCGAAACGTTGATATATGTATTTTTTGACCTCGTCGGCATTTTCGGCGGTTTCCTTGGCTGTCTTCAAATCGACGAAATGTTCGCTTAATTCTCCTTTAGGTCCAAAGTAATGTTCTATAATTCTGTCAAGATTTTCTACACGTGTATCGAGTTCGAAGAAATTGAAGGATTGTCCGAATACTTCAGCAGTTAGATTCAAGCTAGTTGAACGTGGTACGTAACTATTTTGACTGTAAATCACGTTACTTTCAACGGAAGAACCGACACCTAGTGCTTCGAGATTATAAGAAAATTCGTTGTTGAAAGAGAATTTGCGAAAATCTTCTGAGAATTTGGTGTGTGGCTTGATATGACTCAAGAATTTTTTAGCAGCTTTCTTGTTAGGATCTGTCGATGCTCTTAAATTACGGAGATGACTGGTTATGAAGGATCCAACTTGATTCACGGTTTCCTTGTTTAATATCTCTTCTATTTTGGTAGCAACATGTGGACACGCGCAATTTACCAAAGCAAGATATACTTTTATCCTAATCTCACTGTCTTCATCGTGGTCACTCAATACATTCATAACTTGATTCTTCCATTTCATCGAGCAAGTATTTGACAATGCTTCAATAGCGGCAACCCGTACTCGATTACGTACTTGTTTGTCGGCAACGATGTTTGATAATTTTTGTAAAGTAGCATCATCCAGATATTTCGAATTACCGAGTGCCTTCAAGCTAGAAATTATTTGATTCTCTTGGACTCGATTTTTCGTCCTACCGTTTCCAACTTTCTCGCGAATCTTGTGTATAGCGTCTTTTACTACTGGAACATTTTCACAGGGATGATCTTGACAATATTTGCCAATGATATGTCCAATTCCAAGATAACCAATTCTTGGTATATTCGGTTGATTTAAAAGTGACGTTACAGCTGTTATTGCTGGAAGATTGACGTGTCGAATCAAGGGGAGACTGGCGTAGAAGACAAAATTTTGCAAATGAGTTAATTGGTGAGTTTTTACAAGCTCTACGGCCACTTCAGCTGCCTCGCCGCTACCGGTACGGAAAAGTGCGTCCAAGAATATCTTCTTATCGGAAACTTTATTAAAACCCGAACCAGCATTGACCTTCTGATATACCGAAAGAATGTCCTTCTTGCTGCTTAATCGAAGCACTTTGACAAGTTCGGCAAATTTCTCGGCTGCCTTTTCACGAACGATTTCCCCTTTTTCCTTCGACACGGCCTTCAATGCATTGCTAATTGCATCTACTGACGATTTGACGACCGGATGCGGAGCTTCGAAAATGATCGACTTGGGAACGGACACCGGTGCTGACGGATTGTCACCTTTCTCTCCTTTAAATGTTAAAGTCGTTTCAACTACGGTCCTTGCTCCTGCATCACCGTTACTAAATGGTTGTAATTTGTAAGTTTCCGTCGATGATGCTTTGTTCAAGATACCCTGTTTAAAGCGTTGTTCAATCTTCTGTTGAGATTCGAGCAATGGGGTTGATTTGATGCCAGACGATTTGTCGAATACCGACGTTACAAGTCCTTGTCCAATATTTTCGCGATACGAACATTGCGAAAGGTCTTTATATTTCTGCACGAGCAAGGAATCACCTTCCTTTTGGAAAGTGAAGTCGGTCGAACAACTGCCAAATACATCGGTCTAAATGGAAAATAAATAACGATAAAATGAGAACGTAGAATTTAAAATGGTTTGCGAAATATTCGCAAATACATTTACAAATGATTATTTCGATTGGTTCGGGATTTAAAAAAATCTTCTTTTGCTGAATATTATCACGAATTGAAAGCTTACGCTAAAACGTGTCTATTTAATTCGTTATAATTTTGAGAAATTAATTACCGATTATTTTCAAAAATCGGGTATCCGATATTTTTGAGTTAATTTCTACTAGAAATCGATAGTTCGTGATTTAGTATTTTTGGATGGATCGTTAAAAGGAATTTCGTTCTGGATTATTCTTTTCTTTCTTTATTTCTTCCTTTCTTTATCACGCATACTTATATGTACATCTAATAGAACTCTACTTATCCATAAGAAGACAAACGCGAGATCCCTTTTTTTAATTCGATTTAATCAAACGTTGTTATTATATTATACCGGTCACTTAGTACGATGAATTATTATCAGAATGTAATGCAATTCACGATCATCAGGATAAATTAAATAAGCTAATAATTACATCTCCGTCCTACCCATGTGAATAAATGGTCAGTAATTTTGATTTATCCTTGAATTAACGAGTCTCGTTAAATCGAATTATTAAGGTTTGTTAAAAGAAAAAAAAGAAAAAAGCAAATACGTATTAATTGATAAATATTTTTTTATACGTATGTACCTCATGATGAACAGTAGAACCGGATTCAAGTTGAACAGCTGATTGGAACAAAGATATTACGGCTCTCTTGATGTTTAATGATGTTTGTGAATCATCTGGTTCCGCACAAACGTCAGGATCAATGTGACCATGATGATAACTGAACTGAAGTGCGTGCTTTTGAAGATCTGGCAAAGAAGCTGCCTGAAATTATATATAATATATTATTTACGCTTTTAATTCTCATCCCTTCATATCAAAATGTGAGTATAAAAATGAATAATAATTTGCGAGTGTAATATATGTATATTTTTTTTTTTTAATATATTATTCCATAGTTAAAAAAGTTCGAAAGATTCTTACAGCATCATTTACATTGACGTCCTTAAGTTTTAATTGTAAAACACAATCAGGTTTAGCAGTCAATTCAACGATGGCTTTCAAATTGAGAATACTGTCGCCTTTTGCATCCGTGACAGATGTTACAGATGTTCCTTCCAGACGATATATATAGGTGTGTCCTTCTTGATATGCTTTTGGATATTGTCCTATAATTATTTATTAATAATAATATATTTTTTATAATACGTTTTCTATGTTTATATATGCTAGATGCGTAATATTAGGGGGGACTGGAAAGTAACGTCATCTTTTTTTTTTCTTTTTCTACATTAAATTCAAACACGGTCCTTGAAGTACACACGATCTGTGCATTCAGTATGAATGCATTAACATAAATATATTGATATTTGCATATAACGACATTACTTTCCCGTCCCTTAATTTTTAAATATATTTAATAACAAAAATTTATATAATACTCACCACCGTGACAACCGAGATTGCATTTTTCTGAAACAAATGAAATTTCGTTCATCGTATTTTAATTTCATTCAGTTGCGATGATATTTATATATCATAAAAAGGAATAAAAAATATTTATTTATTAAATGTATAATATGAAATAATAATAAAAAAAAGTATATATATAAAGAAACTTTTTGAATCGTTTAAAAACAAAAAAATACGCATTGGGTGTTTTGTTTGTTTACGATTGAAATCATGTGGAAATGTTTATGTTGATAGAGGGTCATTGTACTAATTTTAAATTGCATAGGAAACGTTAGCGTGGTAACTGATGTCATATATTGTTAAGAGTCATAAATTTATTTCCCAACGAGTTGTAAGGGGGAGTTCTCTCGTTCCTTTCTCAGCTTTAAGATTCATCTTTGTTTATCTTTTTTGCTTTGTTTTCCATTATCCGACCACGTGTGCGTAATGATAATTTTATTTAATTGTTTATTACGATCGGGGGAAATATCATTGAAAAATCTTGCCAGCTGTAGAACAGTAGAATAAGTATTCGCTCATTGGTCAAGATAAATAGCGAGAAAAAAAGAAAAAAAGAAAAAAAGAAAAAAAGAAAGATTGAGAATGAAAGCAAGAAATAAAAATTTATAACAGCCAATATCGATTAACAACCAACAACATCTTGGCAATGTTTTAATTCCCGATGCACCTCGTTTTCTTTCTTTTTCTTTTTCGTTTTCTTTTTTCTTTTTTCTTTTCTTTTCTTTTTTATATATTTCGCATACGATTTACTCCATTTCTGCGATAAACTTGAGGACAACTTTGATAAAATACGAATAATACGCGTGATTCGTTGTTTCATCGAGAAATGATCGTGGAAACGTAAAGGGTCGATACGGTTCGTTTATTTTAACACAAAGTTATGTCTTTTTGAAAACAAGATAGGAAAGAGTGATATTATTAATGTTTTAAATAAGTTCGTGTATCGTGTATTCTGTAAGAAGTTTCTTTTTTCTATTTTTCTTTCTCTCTCTTTTCCCAACATTTAAAATTAATTAAAAAGTCGATTAAAAAGAAAGTTATTTTCGTTTAATATTATAATTGAATAAAATACGCGCGTAGATTTTGTTTTCTTTTTTGTTAAATAATTAAAGCTCAGCATAGAGAAAAAAAAAGATCGTTATTTCTCTTATAAATTTCTCATATGTAATGTAAAATTAAAAATTGCTTTTTTCAACGATTAAGTGATAATCGCTGTTGACTTATACCGCGACCCGAAAGTGATATGTCAATAGTATCTTCTTTATCCATATCACTTCGTTTACGAACTCTTGTCTTCTGTAAACAACGTAATATATCATAGGAGAACAAGTTATTTATTTGCGAAGGAATTATTCATTTTTTGTTGTTGTTGCAAAAAAAGATCATAACAAATTCTTTTTATAGAACGATTATTACGCGTTATCGTTTAAAAGTTAACATTAAATAATAATTGTTAACGAATAACAAAAACAATGAAAAAAAAAAAGAGAGATAATACTTTTTCAAAATCTTAACTATGTTTATTCGTGGAAAATTTGCTTCTTTTTTTTTATCGTATAAATCTAATATTTAATAGACGAATAAGAAAAAAAAAAGAAAAAAAAGAAAGAATCAAACTCGCAACGTGACGTCGTGTATACTTCCTCAAAGTTTTTCATTATTGCGCGAAGAAAAAATAATATTTTATCGTATTAACGGAAAAAAATTTCTGACGTCTGCGAATGATTAATTAAAAATACTCTCGGATAAACTTGAACTATGATCGTAACCCTTTTTTTTTTCTTTATACACACACATATATATATATATATATATACTTTTCATTTCTCGAAACGTTGCGTTAATAATTTACAACCAGCGACGAAGTTAAAACGTAAACGTTATTACATTTTTTTTTCTTTTGTACATCTCGCGATATTATCGTATCATTTGTCAGAATAATATGAATTATTCAAAAAAAAAAAAAAAAGATACAAATAAAACAAAAAGTTATCTCTCGATTTGTAAATAGGGAGGAAAACAAAAAAATTTGATTGGTACTCTAAATTTGGTTCTTCGCACACATAATAATAATAATAGTAATAATACTCAATAATACCGATATATATATTCATTATATATTCATATGAGAATTCTAATATATCATATAGTTGAAAACCCGTAACGGGGTTACACATCTCTACGAAGTAATAAAAAGATTACTGGGAATTGACGATGGTAGGATGATAGCAGGGACATCAGATCAATTTACCAAACGTCCGGTGCAACCCTAGGGTCGTGTAATCACTTGAACGTTACAGACATCGTACTATGCAGTGATATGTTGCCAACTTATATACACAATTTACTACTACTCCTTTAATTACTCCATAAAAATTACTTCCCGATAGAAAAAAAAGGGAAAGAATTTTTTTCAAGGGCCCATCTTACTTATTATTAAATTTTCTAACTATTAACTTTATACAATTACAATCAAAATTGATTTAATATAAGATTTTTAATAATTACATATATAATATATTCTTTGCGAATCAGGTTTTAACGTTTCATCGATGAAACGATATTTAAACGAACAATTACGTATTTCGAAAGATTTTGTGTACGAAGAAGAGATATTATTTATATTCTTTATATTTTTTTATAAGCTAGCCCCCCCCCGCTTTTCCCCTCCTCTCACCCTTATATTAATTAAAGATATTATTCAAGATATTAGTATCGTTTAATTTTATCATCAATTTCGTTTAGATTAATTTTACATTTCAACATCTCGGTGGTAAACTAATCTTTAACCTTGATATAAAGTGTAACCTTTATGATTCATCAAATTTTTCAACAGTAGTCATTGATAATCTTAACCGCGGATTGATTTTAAGAAATAATCAATAATTATTTTTTTAAATTATATTTATATATTTGTTTTTCGCTTAATATCTCAAATAGAATAAATATCGTTTAAAAATTTTTTACGAAAAATACGATTAAATTCTAATGAAATAATCAAGACAATATTCCTATTGTTAATATTAAACATTTCCACATAGTATTGTACACGCATTTATCTTAGGGTGAATATTTATCTTACTACTAGATATAATTTTAGTAATACAAAAGAAATAAAATGCATAAATCTTTGTATTAATATTATTTCCACCATATCGTAACACATTTATAGTTTTTCATAGAAATATTCTAATACTTTTTGATACAGAACAATTTATATTTAATGAATGAAAGTATTACAAAATGATTAATTATACGAATAATAATAATAGAAAATCTTGAAAAAATGTATATATATATAAAAATAATTAATTTTAAAAACGTTATTAAATATCTTTTGTACCTCTCGGGATATTATCGTACCATTTGTCAGAATAATTTGAAATATTCAAAAAAAAAAAAAA